CCCAGCTTGGAGCATCTGGGAAGACTTCTTGGAAGAGCAGACGCCCACATAGGTGTTGAAGAACAAACAAGCCTGAGTGGCTCAGTGGGTTAAAGCCTCTGCCTTCGGCTCAGGTCATTGTCCCAGGGTGCTGGGGTCGAGCCGCACAGCACATCGGGCTCTCTGCTCAGCAGGGAACCTGCTTCCTCCTCTCTCTCTGCCTGTCTCTCTGCCTACTTGTGATCTCTGTCTGTCAAATAAATAAGAAATCTTAAAAAAAAAAAAAAAAAAAAAAGAAGAAAGAAAAACAAGAGTTAGAGCTTGTTTGGAGACCCTGACTGTCCTCTGCAGGACAGTTGTCTTTGGAGTTCATTAGTAGGGTTCATTTATTTGTGAATGAAGAAAGGGATCTCCATTTAACAAGCCTTGTTAACCAAACCAGTCCCGGCAGGCAGGTGGGTTGGGGTGAGGTAAGCCCTGGCTAGAAAACTCTCACTTCTAATAGCTCGGAGATAAGTAGTTGAAGAATGGGAGGAAAAGGGATTCCAGGCTAGAAGCAATATGACATCTGAGGAACTGCAGCCAATTTAAAGTGAAGAATGCAGGCCAGGGGCCACGGAGAAGGCTTAATTGAAAGATTTGGGGTAGGGAGTTGGTAATATTGGCCTTGTATAAATCTCTTTTGACATCAGAGGATGAGGGGAGGGAAGACGAGTAGGAGCTTCCATCCCTAGTCTAGGCAAGCGATCGTGGAGGTCTGAGCTAATGGAGCAGTGATGGAATGAGTTGTACAATTTCATCAACTGTAAGATGTACTCTTCTTCCCCCACATTTTAATATCTCTGGAACTTGGATGCTTCTAAAAGTCAGTGGCATGTCACAGTTTCGGCGGCAGCATTTTTTTCTTTCTTAGACCTGCAGAACATAATGGTGTGTCTCACGTGTCTTAGAAGGGTTGGCGTCTTGGATTTGATGAAGTATGGCATTTTTTAAAAAAGATTTTATGTATTTATTTGACAGAGATCACAAGTAGTCAGAGAGACAGGGAGAGAGAGGGGGAAGCAGGCTCCCTGCTGAATAGAGAGCCCAATGCTTGGCTCGATCCCAGGACCCTGAGATCATGACCTGAGCTGAAGGCAGAGGCTTTAACCCACTGAGCCACCCAGGCGCCCTGCAGTATGGCATTTTGAAGCCACAATAGACTGCATCTTGTTAACTAATAAGATGGTGGGGGATGACTGACAAGAAGGACTCTCAGATAATGCTTGAATTTCTAGCTTGAATGCTGATATGGATGGTGGGGTTCCACTCAACAAAATATGGAAGGGGGAGACATCCCTGATATTTCTCAGAATGATGAGCGATCTATATTTGCTTTATTAGCTCACCATGCCGTCCCTGTCCAGGCTCATTGGGTGTGAGTAGCAGCTGACTACACCTCCCTTTCTCCAACCTAGCTGTCTGGAAGGAGGGTTTGCTATGTCCTTACCTTCTCAAGTTACCTGTCAGTCCACATGCATTGAGAGTATTGGTGTTATAGATACCAAGATGATAAATACAGCTTAGCTTTTATCCTGCCAAGCATATCATTATCAGATTTAATTTTCATATAACAGCCGTCTATGAGGTATATAGTATCCTTGTTTTACTTTTAAGATTTTATTTATTTATTAGAGCATGAGAGAGAGCGAGAAAGCAAGCACAAGTGGGCGCTAAGGGTAGAGGGAGAAGGAGAAGTGGACTCCCCACAGAGCAGGGAGCCTGACATGGGGCTCGATACCAGGACCCTGGGATTATGACCTAATCCACAGGCATATGCTTAACCGACTGAGCCACCCAGGCACCAATAGTATCTCTGGTTTTGTTTTGTTTTGTTTTTAATATTTTATTTATTTATTTGACAGAGATTACAAGCAGGCAGAGGCAGGCAGAGAGAGAGAGAGGAAGAGAAGCAGGCTCCCTGCTGAGCAAAGAGCCTGATGTGGGGCTCCATCCCAGGACCCTGGGACCATGACCTGAGCCAAAGGCAGAGGCTTTAACCCACTGAGCCACCCAAGCACCCCAGTACCTCTGTTTTAAAATGCGGGAACATCTGCCCAAAGATTAAGCAACAGGTCCATGGTTATATAGATCGAACAATCCTGTTTGATTCAAGTCTGCCTATAACCAGTCCTAGGGGATCCCAACATAGTCGTGTAAGGAAGTTAAAACACGAAAGTGACAGTAAGCTGTGCTAATGGGATGCTTTTGGAGGCATTCCCTTGGGTGTGTAGTGATGAGCATGGAGGGGCTGTAGATCAAGGCCCAGAGAAGTTAAGTAACTTACCCAAGGTCATGCAACTCCTAAGTGGGGAAGCCCATGTTTCTGGCACTAAAGCCTGTGCAAAACCCTCACGTACAAGATGGGGTTCAGCCCTTAAGGAGCTGGAGCTTGGGAGGAAGGAGCTACAAGTGCCTGGAGTAATTATTTCTAAAGAAGTTTCTGATTCAGTGGACCACCCTCTACTTGAAAGCTCGTTTCTTCATTTTGATTCGGGATATTAGGATCTCCTGCCTTTTTTCCCACTTTGCTGACTACACCTTTTCTGTCTCCTGACACCTAGCTTTTGGATTGCTCTGGGGCCTGTTCCTTAGCCCTCTTTTCTTCTCCCTGTTAGGTGATCTAATCTGTCCCCAGGGATCACACGCCACCCCCATCCTGCTGACTCATTAGCCTGCCTCCAGCCCGGTCTCTCCCCAGCTTCACTCAGCCTTGTCTATCAACGGCCTCACTTGACGTCATTACAACCCTAATGTGTCCAAACCCAAAGTCTTGAATTCTGCCCCAGACGTGTTTCATCCCGAGCCCCTCTCCTGCCATCAACACCTAGCTCCCTCTGTTTTTTGAGGCCAGAAGTCTAAGTTATCCTCGATTCTGCTTGTTCTTCCCACAGCAGTCAGCAGGTCTTCTCAGCTGTCTTCAAAATATTATCCCAAATCTGACAGCTTCTCACCACCTCCACCCCAGCCCCTGGGGCCAGACCAACGGTAACTCTGGCCTGGACTAGCGCAGCAGCCTCCCAGCTCCGCTCCCTGCCCTCTTTCTCCCCCTGCTTCAGTCTAGCTCCACAGAGACTGGGGACATCATCCTTTACAAAGAGAATTCGGGGCATAACCCCACTCTTTAAAAATGACCCAACAATTTCTCATTACACTTGAATAGAATCCAAGCCTCTTGCCAAAGTTCTGTGGGAGCATTCTCCATACCTGGCCCTGTTCCCAATGACCTTGTCCTTTCAACAAATCAAGCTCATTTCTGCTTCTGAGGCTTTGCGTTCCTGCCTAGAAAGTTGCCCCCAAGATCTTTGCATAGTTTGCGGCTTCTCGTCATTTAGGTCATTGCTCACATAACACTTGACTGATCACCTTGTCAGAAATACCAACCCCTCCCACGTTGGAGTGACTGCTCAGCCTGCTTTGTTTCATCGCCCTTTTCATGAGCAGACATACTGCTTGCCTTTCCTCCACACTCAAGCTTAAGTTCTGTAAGGACAGAAACAGCGTCTGTCTTGTCTACTGCTCTGTCACCTGAAATAGTGCCTGGGACATAAAAAATACTCTAATAATGTATGAGTGCACGGACACCTATGTCTGTGTACTTATATCCTGCAAGGGATCTAAGTCAGTGTCATAAATAGAAATTAATAGAAATATCATGGAAGTCACAAATGATTTTAAATTTTTAGTATCTACATTAAAAAATACAAGCAGGTGGGGCACCTGGGTGGGTCAGTCATTAAGCATCTGTCCTTGGCTCAGGTCATGATCCCAGGGTCCTGGGATTGAGCCCCACATCAGGCTCCTTGATCAGAGGGGTGCCTGCTTCTCCCTCTCCAACTCCCCCTGCTTGTGTTCCCTCTCTCGCTGTGTCTCTTTCTGTCAAGTAAATAAAATCTTTAAAAAAAAATATATATATATATAAACAGGTGAACTTAATAATATATTTGATGTCTACCTGATATATCCTAAATGTTTTCAACAAATACTAAAAAATTATATTTATATATAATTTTATATATATTTATTTATTTATATGTATATGTATGAACTAAGTATTCCAACTCTGGTGTTTTTTTACACCTACAGCACATCTCAATTCAGACTAGCCACATTTCAGGTGCCTAAGAGCCATGTGTGGCCAGTGGCAACCATATTAGTACAAGTGTAAACAGTCTAACTTTACCGTTCTTGTCCTCTACTTCCTTGTAAGATCCAGAACAGAAGGAAGCTAGAAACTTCTGATAGCTGGGGACACGTATCTTTTGTAGCTGCCCTTGCTTCCTCTCCCTCTTCAGAAGGAAGCTTTGGTGATGTCCAGGCTAACAGAGGCATGATTGAGTCCTTAGAATAATCATAATGATAACGACGGAGCTTCTGCTATGTCCTGAGCGCTTCGCTTAGTTTGCACAACAATCCCATATTACATTAGGAAATAGGTTCAGGAAAGCAAAGTAACATGTTCAGATTTACACATCTGGTGGTGTTAGAGCGGCCATATGAACTTGATTAATTGTTAAAGCCAGCATTAGAATGCATATACTGTAATTTTTAATCTGCCACTAATGGTCCATGTGGCATGGACAAATTAAGGTAAGTACAAAGGGTAGAAAGAAGCTGACCTGACTCTTGTTCTTGTTGCCTCCATCCTCGTTTTCTCTTCTATTTTCTCAGACACCTTAGGTCTGACTTTAGTGTTGGATTGTGTTCAGGTCGTAGCTCCATCATTTATGAAAATCAACAAATCCTCTATTTCCTCTTCTGGAGAACAGGAATGCTAATACTAATGCCGAGAACATTTGAAAACAGCCAGGAAGATGATGATGATGTCTGTAGAGCACTGAGCACAGTGCAGGTGGCTAGTCGCCACTCAGGGCACGTTCCTCTTTCCCCTCCAGGTTGCTAGGAGAAGCAAAGTGTCCCTTGACCACCCAACTCCATCTCTTCTCTTGCATATTGTCCTGTGGGGTCCTGGAAGCCATTGCTGCACCAACTCGTCATTAGGGCAGGGGGGAGGATGTGGGGCAGGTATCAGAACTTGTGTCTGGGAACCTACCCAAGCTTCTTCCTGTAGCACATTATTCATTCAGCTGCCAAACTGAGACCCCTCAGAGCAGCTTTTACCTTCTCCCTCTCATTGCTCTCCCACACCCTTGGGATGCTTTCACAATCGCTCCTAGTCCAGCTACTTCCTCCCGTTCCCTTCTGTTGCCTTCCCACAGTATGTCCTTGCTCTGGGCTGTCTCAATTCTCCTGTAGTTTTACAGAGCCTTCATCCACAGTAGCTGCCAGAGTCATCTTTCTGAACCATCCTGACCATGTCACTTCCCTACTTTAAACTATTTTCAGGACTAAGTGTAAATAACTCGGCTTGTCATTCATCCACCCGACAAATACTGGAGTGGGAAGGGGGACTTACCATATGCCTAAGCAGTTCTTACAGGTGCAAAGATAGAGCCGGGAACCAGACAACCAAGGCCCTGCCCTGGAGGCCCTTCACGGTCTGGACCCCAGCCAGATGCCTACCTTCCCCAAAGCCCTTCCAGCCTGCCTGCCACACACCCTGCCTGCACTCTGGGCTTTCACCTCCCAAGCCTCCCCTTGCTGGCCACCATAGAGAGACGAGCCCTCTCCTCCCTGATCCCTCCATTCCCCAAGGCGCCCAGAGGGTGGCCTAGGCTCCTCTGCAAATTGAAGCCCCTCTTTCTGCCAACTAGAGCCCCCTGCCCCTCCCCTGCCTCTCGGGGATTGTGAGCTAAGAACCAGGGGTAAGAGGCTTGGGACCTGTGCGGCTCCTCCAGGCCCCGGCTGGCCTGCTCCACCGCACAGGAAGCGGGTTAAGCGTGCTGCCCTCACCCCCCTCCAGGGATGTCTGGTCCCCAGGTAGGCATCGGAGGCAGCGCACGTCCCTCCCCTGCGACCAGGCCCCCGGAGGACGGCTGGTGTGTGTGTGTGTGTGTGTGTGTGTGTGTGTGTGTGTGTGTGTGTGGTGTGTGTGTGTGTGTAACCGTCCTGGAGGCCAGCCTGGCTCCCTCTCTTCCATCTTCCGGTGCGGGGTGGCGTTAAGGCTGGCGCCGTAGCCCGGTGGGGCCGGGACCCGCCCGCGGAACCGCAGGCGGGGAGGCGGTTGTGGCTTACTGCGGCGAGAGGCGGGGCGTGCGCGCATCACTAACTGGAGTGGCTGCGCCCTGTGTCCCCCGCCTAGCGCATGCGCACTCCAGTTTGCGCCCGGCTTTCAGGCACAGGAGCTGCACGGCCTCGGGGCCATACGCCTCTCTCTTCTCCGCTGCCCACAGTTTTCGCGGCCTGCCATTCCTGCTGGCTTTTCTGCCCTCGCTGCCCTCGGGACTGGCTTCCTTTTCTTCCCGTTCTCCCCTCCACTCCCAGCCATATCTGACCCAGACACCTCCTGGCCAAACATCACCGCGACGATACAGGGTCACATGGGCATATCCCCAACTGCGGCCTCCCTGCCCACTGCACCTCCAGTCACCACCCCCCAACCCCCGGAATCCAGCCTCCTCATTGTGCTTTGGCACCTTTCTTCGCTTTGCCAGGAGGGCCCCCCCCACTTCGTCCTTGGATGTTTCCCCTGCTGCCACAGCAGACATAGATAGGCTGGTCTTCCCTGACGCACTGCAGTAAGGGGACGTCCCCTGTCCCACAGGAGCCTTGCCACGCTGCCTTGACTTCCCTACACGGATCTGCCTCCCTTACCGGACTCCTTGCCTCTTGAGGATGCAGCCGAGCTCTGTTCTCTCTGTCCCCAGAACACAGTCCTTGCTCGGAGCCGGCATCAACACATGTATTTAAAAATGAGTAAATGGAAGATTGTAAGCGTTGGGTAGATGCTGGGTGTGCTGAGGGTCTGGATGGTTGAGAGTTCATCTGAGAAGGCTTCTTGGAGGATAGACTGAACAGACTCTGGCAGGGGAGAGATGTGACCTGGTGCAGCCAGAGGATGTTGGGAGAGCACCAGAGGGACATCCTCTACTAACTTAACAATCATCAAACAACTTCTATTGTCAGGCCTCATGCTGGGCACAGGGGACTTCAGCCTGCGCTCCAGTTGCTTCCCCTGTAGTAGAGGAGGAAGACAGGATAGGCTGCGCCAATGCAGAGTGCCGGGGGTCACACGGTGAGCACACAGACGCCGCAGTGTAGAGGGGCACCTGGCTCCGGGGACGGGAGGGGCTCAGGCTTCCCTGAGAGCAGAGGGAGAGCCAGTGCAAGGGGCAGTTGAGAGAGGAGGCTGACAATGGAGCCAACCTTATCATAAGGGCTTATACATCAAAGGAAAGAGATGGACTCCATATCCTGGGCTCTCAGAGAGCCATGGACAGCTTGCACAAAGTCAGGGAAGTGACATGATCTAATCCTGCTGGCCACACTCCAGCAATGCCTCTGCTTGGATCCTCTCATCCGAGAAGCCTTCTCTAAGCTCCCTGTCAGGCTGGACCTCTCCTCTATGCTCCCCTGGCAGCCTGTCCACTTCCCCTTCTCTGTGCAGAGGTTGAATACCTCTGCCTTCCGTAGCTCCTTGGGACTTGAGACCAGGTCTTAATTTCCTCCGTGTCCCAAGCACCAGGCACTGAATCTTCCTCATGAGCAAATGTTTGCTGAATGAATGGATTGCTCCTTTTTTCTCTGGATTTCTAGAGCCCTTACTCTGAGGTCCACATTCTTTCATACCCAGGACCTGTGCAGTATGCTGAAAATGGCATTTAATTGGAAAAGAGGAGTCCAGATTCAAATCCTGGTTCCATCATTCACTGGGACAAGTCACTTGACTATCTTGAAAACAGTTTCCTCACCTGTAAGACGAACAGTCTGGGAGTCCCCATATGCATGCATGAGTCTTGTTTCTCTGGGTAGACTGGGCATGCCTTGAACATTTTCCCCAGGACCTAGCTTGGTCTGAGCTTATAGGGAATATGATGCTCTGTTCTATTGGTTGGTAGACAGCAGAGTGCAGAGTAGGAGGGAAAGAACAATTAAGGTGACGTTGTAAGTCCTGTTCTGCCACTTCTGGTGTGACTTTGAGCAAGGTTCTTCTCCTCTCTGAGTCTTCTTTGCCTTACCCTGTGAGTAGGGATAGTAACCCTCACCTGGTCGACCTCACGAAGCCAATGGAAGCCATGAATGTGAAAGTGCTTCCTGAATGAAAGGGTTAATATAGTAGATAATTGACCATTAATTTTAAAAAGTAACCAAAGTAGTGCAGTTGAGGTGTGTCTGGTAATTGGCAGAAGTGCCCCAGGTATGTGCTGACTGCCTCTGAGGGGCAGAGAGGCTGGCTTGCTGCTCTCCAGGCAGGAGTGGGCTGGGCAGGGCGCTGAGGTGTTTCGTCTTGTGGGGGTCAGCCCTGAGGCCCAGGAGAGCCTGGGAGGAGGCGCTTCCTGGGGAGGGAGTTTGCAGCCAGCCCTTGGCTCCTTCCCCTCCCTCCCCTCCCTGATTTCTCAGGCAGCATTCTTCCTGTCTTACGTTTGGAGGGGCCCTGACGTGAAAGGGTCTCAGGAGTCTGGAGGGTCTTGGTAAATGGCCTGGGGGAGCAGTGAGCCCCACCAGGCTGCCCTGATAAACTCCCAGTTCCAAACTCCAAACCCAGGCCCTCCCAGCCTCTAACATCTCGGTGACTGGGTTTATGGGAAAGGACCCTACTCTGTCTTAACTCTTGCCCAGACCAGAAGGGCCCAGGGCTAGACACGGGCTGAGTGGAGGCAGAGGATCAACTTCCTCCCCTCTCGAATGACTGACGATTAAATGAGGAAGAGGTCCTGAAAACACCTTGGAACTTGTATATTTTCCTCGGGGTGGGGGGCAGGATTACTGTTTGTGGGTAGCGTGCTGGTAGCAACCAGCGGGGCCTCCCTGTTCCAGAGAGCCCCCGGGCTCTTTCTCCCAGAGAGACTTCGTGTCACAAGCAGTCTGTGTGTATGGAGTGCATGTTTGGTCTTAGAGGAAGAGTGGAGCCAGCCAGGCTGTGAGAATCATTAGGCCCAGCTGATTCCCCACCGCCCTGAGGGACTGGGAGGTGTGAGAAGCCCTGGGCCGGGCTGCTCCTGCAGGGGGAGGCTGATGCTGCCCTCCAGAGCTGGCCAACCCAGCTCCTCCTTGGTCTCCTACTCCACAAAGCTCCTCCTGCCCAGAGCTGTGCTCTGAGCCGAGAAAGCACCAGACTGAGAACCCAGCAACAGGATTACCTTCTATGCACCTAGCATGTGACTTCGAGCCAATGTCTCAGTTCTCTGAATCTCAGTTTTCTCATCCATAAAATCATGACAGCACCATCTTCTGAGGTCGTCAGGATCAGGAGAGAGAACACAGTGGAAGGGGCTTGTGAACTATCCACTGTCCTGTCCACGTTATGTGGTGTCCACGTTCTATGCTGTCCACGTTCATTTCTAGTTTCTCACCTCTTCCTCTACGGGAGCTGGGCCTGCTTGTTCTGGTCGAGGCCTGTCAGAACAGGACCTTGGGGCACCCCAACAGCAGCTCTGTCCTGAGGGAGTGAGCACAGCTGGCGGGACAAAGGAAGCTGACTCCATAGCCGTCTCTTCTGGGCTTTCTACCCCTCAGGGACCCTCTCCCCCTGGGCTACTCCTGGGGGGTAAGAGGGTTACCTTTCCCCAGCATTCTTTTTTATTCAAAAAGAATAGAATAGAATTCACCACATGGGCTGGAGGGAGGTCTACACTATAGGCAAGGGGTACAGACAGAGGGTGTGGAAACTGGTCTGCGGGCTCACTTGCTTGGCTGTTGCCCTTCCCTGAGACACTCATCCTCACCAGCTTTGTCTTTACCTCCTGGTCTCCGCCATCTGCCTCCTGTCTCTCTCACTATGGTCAGTGAAACAGTGTTGGGAGGGTGCGGTTCGGGAATGAGGTCTGGTGAACAGGAACTGCCTGGTCCCTAGGAACCTCTTTTGGGACTCTTTGACCTTGGGAACCCTTTAACCCTCTCCCCTGAGCCCCAGATCCGTGCACCAGTTTCTTCCTGACCAACGACGAGAGCTGTCTCCAGATGAATGAATTTTCCTGGAAGGATATCACCAACGCCTTGTCCCTGGCCAACCTGATCCTGGGGCTCTTCTCCATCTTCTGCAGCTTCTGCAAGTAGGTCTGGGGCCCAGCGGGCTCCTAGTCAAGAGCTAGAGCCAATGGCATGAGGGAAGGAGTGGGGAGCCTAGGGAGCCAGGCACTGAGGCACAGAATCAACCAGGGGCAGGAGAAAGCAGAACGGGTTGGGAGTCATGGGGCCAAGATCCTAGCCTCAGTTCTACTACCATCCTGATATGTGACTTTGGCTAGGTCACATCCTGAGCCTTGGTCTCCCCATCGCTAAAACAAGGAGCTTGCACTGTGATCTCTGTAGTGCTTTTGGGCTATGGCAGTCTAGAATGGTTTTGCGAGAAAAATCAGAGGTTCTGTTCTGGTGGCCCTTACATAATCCTCGGGTAGGCAGGCTACCATTTGAAATTTTTGATTCTTAAATTTGAACCTATGATGTCGGGAATATTTACAATTAGCACTATTGTGGAAAATCTGAGACATATATATGGGCCCCTACAAAGCAAAGCAAATTATATTTTATAGGGAAGTTCTATTTCTGTAAATTGAATCATATTTCAATGCCTTGGCAAATCAGTTCTTTAAAGAGAAATCTTTTATAATGCAGATATCCGCCTCCTAACTGCTTCTCTGTAACCATCAGTGCATGAATTCTCTGGACCCATTTCTCATCCATAAAATAGGATGATCTTACCTGATGATGTTTGAGTTCCCTTCCAGTTTGAAAATGTTATGATTCTCTAAGTCTGGATTTGTGGAGTCTTATAAAGTAGATCATACCTGCAAGAGAGAATTTCTATCTTCTTCTAGTCTAATCTTCTGGGAGTATATATATATATATTTTTTTTTTTAATATTCTTATTTATTTATTTGACAGAGAGAGTGATCACAAGTAGGCAGAGAGGCAGGCAGAGAGAGAGGGGGAAGCACGCTCCCCGCTGAGCAGAGAGCCCGATGTGGGGCTCGATCCCAGGACCCTGGGATCATGACCTGAGCCGAAGGCAGAGGCTTTAACCCACTGAGCCACCCAGGTGCCCCCTGGGAGTATATTTTTTTAAAGATTTTATTTATTTATTTGCTAGAGAGAGAGAGAGCACAAGTAGGAGGAGCTATAGGCAGAGGGAGAAGTAGGCTCCCCTCTGAGCAAGGACCCCTTTGCGGGACTCAATCCCAGGACCCCGGGATCATGACTTGAACCAAAGACAGACATTTAAATGACTGAGCCAGGGAGTGTAGTTTTTATGGCAGGTTGGTAAACCCAGCTTCCTATAGACACATAGGTATGGATCTAAAGGAAGGTAGTTCTGAGGTTGTTTAGAGACTGCTGAAGTCTGGGATCAGGCACTCTGCTTCTGCTTGATAATCTGAGCACTGCAATCAGGGTGTAGACTCAGGAATGGCAGCCTAGGTCAGCCTTGCCTGAGACTGCGGTGGCTGCTTTCAGAGCGGTCTGGGAGCATGTGCTGGACTGCAGCACGGAATCCTCGAATGTAGGGTCTGCAAGAGATCTTGGAAATCATTTAGCGCATCAAAATATGTGAGCTGAAAGTGGATAGAACCACAAGGAGAACTTGACAAATCCACTATCTTAGTTAGATATTTCAACACCCCTCTATGAGAAATTGACAAATCCGGTTGGCAGAAAATCAGGAAGGAGATAGTTGAACTGAACTGCACCATCAATCAACTGGATCAAATTGATGTTTATAGAATATTTTATCCAGGAACAGCAGAATACACATTCTTCTCTTCACACATTCAGGCTATAAGACTGAATTCAAATTTAAAAGAATAGAAATCATACAAAGTGTGCCCTTAGACCACATAGAATTAAAGTAGAAATCAGTAACAGAAAGATAAATAGAAAATCCTCAAATATGTGGAGGTTAAATAACACAATTTTAAATAATACATGGCTTAAAGAAGAAAAGTGTTTTGAACCAAAAGAAAATGAAAGGACAACTTAACAAACTTTGTGAGATGCAGAAAAAGCAGTAGTTAGAGGGAAATGTATAGCATCAAATGCATATACTGGAAAAGAAAACTGCTCTGTGAAAGACAATGTCAGGAGAATTGAAAGACAAGCTGCAAGCTGGGAGAAATTATTTTCAAAAGGTACATCTGATAAAGGACTATAATCTAAAATAGGCAAAGCTTAAAAACTCATCAGTAAGAAAACAAACAATTAAAAAAATGGACCAATGACCTTAACAGACACCTCACCAAAGAAGATCTACAGATGGCAAGTAAGCATGCAAAAAGATGCTCCCCACCATATGTTATCAGGGAGATGCAAATTAAAATAACAATGGGATACCACTACACACTCATCAGCCAAACCAATTGTCCAGAACACTGATAACACCAAAGGCTGGCGAGGATGTGGAGTGACAATGGGAGTATGACATGGTGCAGCCACTTTGGAAGACAATTTGGCAGTTTATTACAAAGCTAAACATACTCTTATCATATGATCCAGCAATCACACTGTTTGGTATTTATCCAAATGAGTTAAAAGCTATGTCCACATGAAAATCTGCAGTTGGATGTTTATGATGTTTTATGTACAGTTGCCAAAACTTGCAGGCAACCAAGATCTCTTCTAGTAAGTGAACAGATGAATAAACTGTGGTATTTCCAAAAAGTGTACTTAGTGCTAAAAAAAAAAATAAATAAACTATCAAGCCATGGGAAGACATGGAGGAATCTTTAGCACATATTACTAAGTGAAAGAAGCTAAACTGAAAATGCCACTTACGGCATGATTACAATAATATGATATGATACTTGGAAAGGCAAAACTCTGAAGATAATAAAAAGATCAGTAGTTGACAGGGGTGAATGGGGAAAATGAATAGGTAGAGCCTAGAGGATTTTTAGGACAGTGGAAATGCTCAGTGTGATACTATAATGATGGATACGTGTCATCACACATTAGTCCAAAACTATAGAATGTACAACACCAAGAGTGAACCCTAAGGTAATCTATGGACTTTGGGTGATTATGATGTGTCAGTGGAGGTTCATCCTTGGTATGTACCAAGAATCTAAATGTACCATCTGGTGAGTGGTATTCCTAATGTGAGAGGCTATTCATGTGTGGGGGCAGGGGGTATATGGGAAATTTCTGTAGCTTCCTTTCAATTTTGTTCTAAACCTAAAAACTTCTCTAAAAAAAAAAAAAAGTCTAGAAGAACTGAAAAAAAGGGAGATGTAAAATCACCAATGTAAGGTTTCCAACTTAGCAAATTAGAGGGGAGAATGTAAATTAAATCCAAAGTAAGCAGAAGAGAAGAAACAATAAAAATGAGAGCAACCATCAATGAAATTGAAAAAAAAATCCATAGAGAAAATCAATGAAACCAAAAGCTGATTCTTTGGAAAGATCAATAAAATTTATAAGCCTCTAATCAGGCTAAACAGGAAAAATAAAGATAAGAAGAGAAGACACAAGATACCAATATCAGAAATGAAAGAGGAGTCATCACTATTGATCCCACAGACATTAAAAGTATAAAAAGGAATCATGAACAACTCTATAAATTTGATAAACTAAATGAAATGGACCAATTCCCTAAGTCATAAGTTACCAAAACTTTCACTAGGAGAAATAGATAATCTAAATAGGCCTATATCTATTAAGTCATTTGGCACAAACCCCTCATTTTACAGATGGAGGAAGAGAGACCTAGAGATGTTGGGAATGATTTATCTGAGAATCCACAGTGAGATGGTTGCAAAGGCTGGGCTAGAACATAGGACCCCTGGGCCTTCAGATATGCCTGGGACTTAGAGCTGGAAGGGACCTTAATGATTATCTAGGGGGCTCCAAGCACCCCTTTCAGATAGTGGCTTAACAGTATGGCAGAGGAGAGGGGGAACATGCAGGGCAGGGATGTGTGCCTGTGTGCAAGTGTAAAGAGTGTGTGGGTGTACTGGGAGGATATGGAGGGGCTGGCCAATGGAGACCATGAAAGAGCTGTCCTATTTGGGCCTGCTGCCATACACTCTAGGAGATGCCACTGTGCCTCCTGGATGCTTCTGATCAGCTTCCTGTTAGACATGGCAGTCGGGGCGATAAACAGACACCTCAGCCTCTGCTCCAAGTCAGGTGAGTCCAGGCTTCAGACCCCTGATCCCTGACCCCAGGAGCCCTCACCTCAGGTCACACCTCCCCCATCTCACATCCAGCCAGCCTCTATCATTCACCAGTCCTGTTCCCAGCCCTCCAAGGATGGCAGAAGCAGCCCTAGAGCCGTCCGGGAGCCCCACAGTCTAGAGCTAACCCCCTGCTGGCTCACTTGTTAGCTTCAGCCATCCTTGCCCTGGCCTTGCCATTTCCTTCTCTGCCCCGCCCCCCCAGTTGGGACAGATCCAGGGATTGGGTGGCTGCAGTGGTGGTCAGGAGTGGAGAAATGAACAATCCCCCCAGCAGAACAGCTGGTTCAAAATACAAGAAAATGTTTTCGTGGAAGATTGTGCTTGCAAAAAGGGCTCCATAGCTTGTCAGTTTGCATCCTGTTATAGTCCAGTGCTGGATGCTGAAGGGTGAGAAAGTAAGACCTGAGAGGGGAAGAGTTGTCTAAGGCCACACGGTCAGCAGGAGGCAGAGCCAGGGGGAGCCCACCACAGAGGACTAAGGTGCGAGACAAATGAGTATAAGTTCTAACCTTGGCCTTCTGGAGCAGGAGTGGAGCTGAATGACTTTGCGGTCTACACCACCTTCGGCTTGGCCTCAGCCATGCTCCTCGGCGTGGACGGGCCTCTGAGCGGGTTCCTGGGCATCATCTATGTGTTAGCTGCTACCTTCCGCCTGTGTTTCTATTCAACTGGTGAGTGAACCCCAGCTTTGTAGCTGAGCGTCGGGAACCAGAAGGCTGGGGGGGGTGCGTAACTGGCTCCTCCCCCTGCTTTGTGGAGTCCCTCTTCCTTCCTTCACCTGTGCCCCAGGCCCGCTGAAGGCTTCAGGCTGCCGTGGCAGAGCCCTGGTGGGGGGTAGAGGCCTATGGTTCTCCGAACAGCTGTACCTTTTTCTCACTCTGTGCCCTTCGGGTGGTGCACAGAGATTCCCAGAATCTGGAACTAGAGGTCGTCCTCCAGTTTTCCACAACAGATGGGGAAAATGGAGCTCTACCACGGGCAGTTGCCTTGCCCAAGGTCACAACGCAAGGGAGGGTAGGTGCAGACCAGACAATTTCAGGAGACCCTTCTACGGAGCCATGGGGGATCCAGGGCAGAACCCACCCCTCATCTCTGTGAATAACTAAATGCTTGATAGCCTCCTGCTGTCCTGCAAGGAAGAGGATTTGGGGCGTGGGGCAGGGAGGACCCAACGAGAGGGGCTGGCTTCGGTTTTGATTGCTTTAGAGCAGCGGGAAGCCACCCATGTCCCCCTCTTCTTTCTCCAGCAGGCGCTCAGCTCACCTACAAGGGTCTCCCCTGCCGCTACGCTTCCTGTGTCTTGGCCTCCACCTCCCTTCTGACCAAAGGCAACACGTTCATTCTCTCTTGCATGGCCTCACTTATGATTCTATTCATGATGGACCAGAGCTACTATCCACATGATGAAATCCTGGAGTCGGAGAACTGGAAAAAAATGGTGTATCTGGGAGGTGAGTGAGAAGGACTGCTCTCACATATCACCACTGGCTGTTTATTGGCCCTGCTGCTCCGAGCTCCCGGAGCCTGCTCTCTCCTCCTCTGACGGGTTTATCATCATCCTGAATGCATTTACCGGTTTACTATTTGTACACACTACACCTGCCCCCGGATAGAGAACTCTCTCTTGTTCAGGCTCCCTGGACCTGGACCCAGGACTCCCTGGACCCAGGATTGGGCCAACCACGGGGTAGATGCTCATGGAGCATTTGTTGAATGTTATCAAGTTCAGTCAGGAACACCTGCCTTACCAGGTGCTGGGAACCAAATCTGTAAACTAGACAAACCCTTCCCACCTCTAGCTTTACAATCTGATCAGGGAGACAGACCCCAACCACGTAATGGCAGAAATAACTAGAAACGCATAGTTTTGACGTGTTGTGGAAGCACCAGGCACTCTGACAGGGTGTTGGAGAGGGACCTAGTTAGATGGAAACGACCTGAAGGGGGAAAGGATACTTCAGGAGGTGACATTTAAATGGAAACTGGGTGGAGGTGGTCAAAAGGTACAAACTTCCAGTTATAAGTTAGTCCTGGGGACATAAGGGATAGCAGGGTGACCACAGTTAATGACACCATATTGTATAGTTGAAAGTAGCTAAGAGAGGAGAGCTTAAAAGTTCTCATCACAAGAAAGGAAAATATGTAACTCTGTGTGGTAGACTTTCTGAACTGATCGTGTCACACACAGATACCAAATCCTCATGTTGTATGCCTTGGACTAATACGGTGTCATATGTCCATGACATCTCAATGGAACTGGGGGAAAAAGAAAAGAAAGAAAAGAAACCTGCAAGAAGACTGGCTAGGTGGGTGAGAGGGGTAGTTCAGAAGAGAAAAAGGTATTTTGTGAAGGCCCTAGGCTAGAAGGTTCTGGAATCATTCTTGCTGCTGTGTGGCTAGAACATGCTGAGAGGCGCTAGGGACAGAATCTGAGGCCACGAGGTGGGCAGGTTTTGGGAACTGATCCTAACAGCAAATGGGAAGTCTCTGAAGGGATTTCTGAGCAGCAGTTTTAAGGGGCCACTTTGACTAGCTGGCAGGAGACTGAGAACTGAAGGAGGAAAACGCACTTGCTGTTGCCTGAGAGGTGGCAGTGACAGAGCAGGTGAAGCGACTTGAGATCCACGTTGGGAACAGATCCCTGAGGTCCCGGCCACACGGGGGCCCTGGCAGATGTCTCCCTAGAGTTCTCCCCAATTTAGGGCTTCCTCCAAGGACCTTCAAGGAATGCCAGTGTTTCTTTTTTGGAGATGTGCTTGTGGCAACAAGACAAACATCTAGGGGATGCCCAGTTTCTTCCTTTATTCCCTGGGGGTTCAGTCTGGTTCATAGGGTCCTTGGTTCCATCCTGACCCTCCCCTTCAGGTTCACATCCTTTCTCTGTAGCATCAGCGCTGATGGCCCTGCCCACGTTCTAGGCTTTGGGCCCCCCTGTGGCTCAGCTAGTAGAGGCAGAACAGGATGAAGAAACATCTGGGTCTGCAGTTAAACAGGCCTGAGTTCAAGTTCCAACCAACACATTTTTAAAAGATTATTTACTTATTTATTTGAGAGAGAGAGAGTGAGCACAGGTGTGTGTTTGGAGCGGGAGAGGGAGCAGCAGAGGAAGAGGGAGAAGCAGACTACCCACTGAGCAGGGAGCCTGATTCCAGGCTAGATCCCAGGACCCTGAGATCATGACCTGAACTGAAGTCAGATGCTTAATTGACTGAGCCATCCAGGCGCCCCCACCAGCCCATATTAATTGCATGAACTTGGGCTAATTACCTCGTTGTTTTGAGCTCACTTTTCTTCATGTATAAAATGAAGCCATTAATTCCTACCTCAGGTTTCTTGAGATCAAAGGAGAAAATGTATATCCATCCTTTGGCACAGATGTGTCCTGTAAGTAGAAGCTTCTAGCCCCTTCTTCTCTTCACCTGCCCTCCTATCACATAGCAACAGTGTTTCCCACAATGTTCTTTGCTCCTGTAGATACCACTGGATCCCCTCTCCTCAAAATAAGCCACACACTTGGACTCAGCCTTCCTTTGATTGTCTTGACTGTGTGAGTAAAGGAGGAAACTGCGCTTCACAGATTTTGACACTGTTTAATACCAGAGCCCTACCGGATAGATATTTCAAAATGGCCACTTTGATATTCCTCTTACCAGGAGTGCAGACAGTCACCTTTTGATTGATTGATTGATTGACTAAATTTTTGAGAGAGAGAGAGAGAGAGAGCGTGGGAGAGGGGCATAGGGAGGGAGAGAGAGTCTTAACCAGGCTCCATGCCCAGTGTAGAGCCCAGTGCAAGGCTTGGTCTCGCAACCCTGAGATCATGACCTGAGCCAAAATCAACAGTTGCACCCTTAACTGACTGAGCCACCCAGATGCTCCTATTTTAATTCTTTTAAAGATTTTATTTTTAAGTAATCTCTGCATCCACTGTGGGGCTCAAACTCACAACCCCAAGTTCAAGACTTGCACACTCCACCACTGAGCCAACCGGGTGTCCCACCAATCACCTTTCTAGACTGAGGTTCCATCTCCTCCACAGAGCTTCTGAGAAGTTGGCCTGTGACTGCTGAAGCCTTATGTCACATATTTTCCAGGACAACTAAAATATTGTCTCATTGCCTCAACAGATCAATGACTATTCTTAAATATTAAATATCCCAAAGTTCCGATCCATCTCTGTTATGGCTTCTCGCCCTTAGAAGTGGTCTTCTGTCTGCTGTTCTGATTTCTCTTGAGGAATGCATGGTGGTGATCCCCATGGACATGCCCTGTACTCTCCCACCCTCTTTTTGAGCTCTCTGAGGCTGACTGTCTACTTTGTACAAAGTAGACATGGGTTTGAATCAAGACCTTGTGAAGGTCACACTCCCTCAGTCTCCTCATCTGAAAAACAGACTTATTCCGAATCACAGGATTATTGTGAAATGTAAGTGGAACAATCTTTGTCACATACCTAGCAGAATGTCTAGTGCTGAGAAGATATCCCACAAGTGTTGGTGCCCTTTTGCCTTTCAGTGGTGAATCTGAGATTCAAATGTGTTGGGGGGTCCCCCAAGACCACCCCCAGATTCACTGATTCTCTAAGGACTCATAGCATGCATATAGTTGTACTCATGGCTAAGATTTGTCACAGCAAGAGGACACAAAATAAGAGTAGCAAAGGGAAGGTCAGGGCGCCTGGGTGGCTCAGTGGGTTAAGCCTCTGCCTTCAGCTCAGGTCATGATCTCAGGGTCTTGGGATCAAGTCCCACATCGGACTCTCTGCTCAGCAGGGAGCTTGCTTCCTCTTCTCTCTCTCTGCCTGCCTCTCTGCCTACTTGAGATCTCTCTCTGTCAAATAAATAAAATCTTTAAAAAAAAAAAAAAGGGAAGGTGAAAGGGGCAAAATCTGGAGGGAACGATGTACAGGCCCCCCAGTACCCTTACTGTGGAACTAGCTACCCAGCACAAAAAACCACTCATGAACTCTTGTCTACCTGGAAGCTATGTGGAGACTCAGTACCCAAGGTTTTCATGGGGGCTGGCCACATTGGCACTCTTGGCCTAGCAGTACCAAAATTCTAGATTTGCACTGAAGGAAATCCATCTCAGCACCGTCTAAGCACAGTGAGCCACTCTTGCCCACTAGGGAAAGTTCTATATTGGTATAGAGAACTGTTTACTAACCATGTTCCTAGATTCCAGCCAAGGACTAACTGGGTAAAAGCAGAAGCAGGCCATTCTAGGGAGAGCTGTCTTTGGTCTGCTGCACTCTTCTGCCTGGGGGTAACATCGTATTGGCCATTGTCACGTGCTAAACTTGACACAATTGTATATATATTTCTAACAAGGGGACTGGGCAACTCAAATGTATTCTCAGCTAAGACTGATTTCTGATGTGAATTTGACAAAATGGAACCTGAGCTTGCGATTGATTGTAATCATCTTGTTACAAACACACAATACCTCTCAAAGGCAGGGCTCATATCTCATTGGTTTTTGTCTCTTCAACCCCCCGAGTACAGACCAAAGGGTGAGAAGATGGGGAGGGGGAGAGAAGAGGTTGGAAAATACATGAAAGAGAGCTTCATAAAAATGGAGTGTTTGCCTTTTTTCTTCCAGGTATCCTCATGCTGCTTTTGTCTCCATTCTCCCTAACTGCCTTTTACTGCCTGCTGTGGTCACTCTCCTACATCTTCTTTCCAGATGCTCTGTGGGGCAAAGCAGCATGTCTCAGGCTACAGTGCCGAGAAAACTGAACAGCTTTACCCACTGCCGCTGGCCTCTGTGGTCTTTGTGCCGGCACATCGGGCCAAGCCTTGACGTAGCCTCACTAAACCTTTTCCTGTCTCCACGTCTCCTGTGTGCTGGATAACGTATGGCCTTGAACCAGAGCAACCCAACATCGGGCCAACGGCCTTCACTTTCTCCTCTTGCTCAGGGTTCTGAATCCCTTGGGGACAACAGTGGTTTATGTCCTAAAGAACAGAAGGTTTTCCAAGCTGAAGTTGGGCCTGGCTGACTTCCAGCCCTGGTACCAGATGCGGGTCCTGGTGCACTCAGGTCAGTCCTTTGGAAAGGAGGGAAAACCTTTGGAATTGGTCTCCACCTTGGTCTGGTCGTTAAGGCTCCAGGGGCAGAACGGGGCTTACTAAAGTGGTTCTTAAACTTGCCGGCTCTGGTTCTGTAGAGCCCGTCACGGGACAATGGCGTTGCCCAGTGTCAATGTGCATAGGCTTTTGTGACTTAAAATTCTGTATTTGAGCAGTCACAACTTTTGCCTTTTGCTTCAATGAAGAGATTAGATACCCTGGCAGCTTGAGGGCACCACCTGGCTTCCTTCCTTCTGGTTTTTTCCTAAATCGTAAAACATTAAACTCCTGATGTTCAAATGCCACTTTGTATTCTAAAATCCAAATTGAATAAAAATAAAGAGTATTGTATGGAACCTTGCAGTTGCCCCTCACAGAGAATTTAGGCTGGCTGCAGGCAGTGACCACCCGCCCCAACCAGCATGGCCTCTGGACCTCCCACCTCCAGGCCGTGTACCCAAAGATTGTTGGCTAGTTCAGCCCCTTCCTCAGCTATGGAGCTGGAGCACTTTTTTGCCTAAGTTCTTGAAGTTTGCATTAAGTCTAAAATTAGATTTTTATAAAAATAACATTCCAGTGAATCAGGAAGCTACAGCCTGGCTTTCCAGGAATGCGTAGTGCCGTCCTGGTCCCGGTCCCCACGGCTCTCTGTCCATGTCTCTGTTACATCATTTATGTTTGTTAGGTGTCCCAATAATTGATCTGTGATTAAAGGCGTGAGACTGATACAAAGCGAAGGTCAAGCAAAGCTTTATTTCGCGCCAAGCATCAGAAATCAAACCAAATGTTCGGGGCCGCGCCTCTTACAGCGAGGGCGACCTCTCTCTGCTTCACAGACTTGCTTTTAAGGGCAAAGGCCATGTGGTTGGGCCTGGCCATGCACAGGTGGCCAATGAGATTGTAACACACAGAGAAAGCTGCACAGTCATGTTAGGTCACACATAAGTGACCAATTGAATTACAATTTACCCTAGTAGATATTTGAACCAGCCTATCATCTTGGTCAGAATTGGCGCCCAAAAGGTGCCCAAAGGGCGGGGCCCATACTCCTTGGTAGCTAGGGAGACAGTATGCGCCCCCCCACTGATCGGATGTCTCCACCTGGCTTGACACACCCTTGTATTTGGGCTTTGTTACCTGGGACTGGTTTCCAGGACTTGTTTTTAAGTAAGTCCCCTGGGGGAAGGGGGGCAGGGACAGTTTTAGTTGTAAACAACAAAGTTATTGTTTAAACGGATGGAAGCACTCTGGCTAAATAGGTCCTTAAATTTTTTTTTTTTTAACTTAAAGATTTTATTTATTTATTTGATAGAGAGAGAGAGAGAGATCACAAGTAGGCAGAGGTAGAGGAGGAAGCAGGCTCCCTGAGGAGTAGAGAGCCCGATGCGGGTCTCGATCCCAGGACCCTGGGATCATGACCTGAGCCAAAGGCAGAGGCTTAACCCACTGAGCCACCCAGGTGTCCCATCATTTATGTTTTTATGGGTGGATGACTATGTCTGCATCCCATCAGATTTCAGGCTCCTTCGGTTTATGTTTTTTAAAATGTCTGCTGCTTACCACGGTCCCTGGTACTCAAAAATGTTTGTTTTGTAGACAAATAGATTTCCTTGTGCGTTCTAGTGGGTTAGGTGCAAGATTACTATAATGTGGTAAGAATCTTACAAATATATACCCAAATACACATACAGATACATGATGTCCTTTGGTATCATCCCCTCATTTCAGAGATTCCACACTTCATCAAAATATTTAGGAAATGCGACTGGAGAACTGTGTTCACATAAGCTCTTGGAGGCCAGCTCCTAGCGTCATGCCTAGACATAGCAGGTGCTCAAAAAATATTGTCTTCTGGGGCACCTGGGTGGCTCAGTGGGCTAAAGCCTCTGCCTTCAGCTCAGGTCATGATCTCAGGGTCCTGGGATCGAGCCCCACATCGGGCTCTCTGCTCAGGAGGGAGCCTGCTTCCCCCTATCTCTCTGCCTGCCTCTCTGCCTACTTGTGATCTCTCTCTCTGTGTCAAATAAATAAATAAAATCTTAAAAAAAAAAAAAAAAGAAGAAGGAAAAGGAAATACTGCCTTCTGAACCAACCAAACCTAGTCTACTAGGCTACTGAAGATTAGCCAACAACAGCCTCTTTTGAGCCGCATTAGTTATCAGATTTGGCGTCAAAGGATTCTGGCTACTTCTAAAACTTGAAACTACATTCAAAGAAGATGCAATTCCGAAAGAGGATTTTCTTGTTGTTTTGAGCCACAGCAGCAGAGTGAAAAGAAATATGTAGACCCCCTAAGGGGACTGCTTTGAAAAGGGAAATACCCATTTGGATACTTGTTTGCACTTTGTTTGTAACAATTCATACTTCATTGCCTCAAAAAGAAGTTTAGGTTAGTGATGCAAGGGTAGTAAAGTGTAGGGATATGTGCTTCCTTCCAACTACATGGAAGGAAGGCTGCCCTTCTACGTGGTTCCGGGGACTGAGGATGCATTAGCTGTGCAGGGCTTTACTCCCCCAGTTAGCAGTAAAACTTAAAAAACAGAACAGCTAGGGGGCGCCTGGGTGGCTCAGTGGGTTAAGCCGCTGCCTTCGGCTCGGGTCATGATCTCAGGGTCCTGGGATCGAGCCCCGCGTCCGGCTCTCTGCTCAGCAGGGAGCCTGCTTCCTCCTCTCTCTCTGCCTGCCTCTCTGCCTGCTTTGTGATCTCTCTCTGTCAAATAAATAAATAAAATCTTAAAAAAAAAAAACAAAACAAAACAGAACAGCTAAAACAGGACATGTAATAAAATAAAATAAAATATAAACTATTCTAATGTAGAATAGCTCTCAGGAACAAGTGGGAAGTCTGGGACTTTAAAAATATACTTCTCAGATGAATGCATGAAGTCAGAGGGGTTCTTTCTTAATTCAAGGCAGTTCTGCTACTTCTCAGCTTGGGATGGAGTATAGATTTCCCTTCCAGTCCCCTCTTAGTGAACCTGTGCCCAGTGAACAGGGACAAGTGACTGATGATTCTGCCTTTTTTTTTTTTTTTTTTTAGTTTTGTGAATGTGAGTGAAAGGTTTAATCTCTCTAAACCCATTTCCTTAACTGTAAAATGGATTATTTACTTCCTCTCTGGGTTGCTTTGTGAATTAAATATGACGACACATAAATAACTAGAATAGGGAATGACTGTAAAAGGTATTAAATAAAAGTTAGATTGCTCCTCTTCTTCTAAACTTCTAAATTTCCTCCCTTCCCATTATATACCTTTCCATTTAAAATAATAGTAATAATAATAGTTATCAGGGAGCTTAGGTGTCTCAGTGGGTTAAGCCTCTGCCTTCGGCTCAAGTCTTGATCCCAGGGTCCTAGGATCGAGCCCCACATCGGGCACTCTGCTCAGTGGGGAGCCTGCTTCCCCCCACCCCTCTCTGCCTTCCTCTCTGCCTACTTGTGATCTCTCTGTCAAATAAATAAATAAAATCTTTAACAAAATAATAGTTATCATTTATTTAGTCTTTTCTATGTGTAGGAAGTGTTTCTTGCACTCTATTCTTTCACTCAATCCCTCACACAACCCAATGATTGGGCTCCCTGCTCAATGGGAAGATTGCTTCCCCTCTCTCTCTGCCTGCCTAATCTGCACACCTGTGATCTCTCTCTTTGTCAAATAAATTTTAAAGATAAAATAAAATACTATGAGAATACAGAATGCTTAAGTATGAGAAACTAGCTACTTTCCTTTAAGATAGATGTTAGATTTGCAAAAATGTAAAACAGTGCTACTCTCACCAATGATTCTTTATTTTGTTTCTTTTTTCCTTAAATGTTTATTTTAAAGGGGGGAGCAGAGGGAGAGGGAGAAAGAAAATCTTAAGCAGGCTCTATACCCAGAGTAGAACCCTATGTGGGGTTAACCTCAGGACCCTGAGATCATGACCTAAGCTGAAATTAAGAGTCAGATGCTTATCTGACTAAGCCACCAGGTGCCCCTAATTATTTTTTAAATTATTTTTTAAAAAAACTTTCCAAGATAGCATAGGGTAGGAGACCTTAGTTTTGTCTGGTTCCAGGAATTCAGCTAGATAGCTATCAAATCATTCTGAATATCTGTGAACTCAACCAGAGATCTAAGAAAAGAATTGCTGCAATTCTACAAATAGAAAAGTGATCACTTTCTGCAAGAATGACAAGACAGAAAAATTCACCTCAAAAAGAGAACAAAAGGCAGTATTGACTGCCAGGAATCTAATCAGTATGGATATGAATAAGATGTTGGAACAAGAGTTCAGAATAACAATTATAAAGATACTAGCTGGGCTTGAAAAAAGCATAGAAGAGACTAGAGAATCTCTTTCTGGAGAAATAAAAGAACTAAAATCTAATCAAGTCAAAATCAAAAGGCTTTTAATGAGTCACAATAAAAAATGGAGGCTCTAATTGCTAGGATAAATGAGGCAGAAGAGGGAATTAGTGATATAGAAGACAAAATGATGGAGAACAAAGAAGGTGAGAAAGAGATAAACAAATATTGGATCATGAGGAGAGAATTTGAGAGAGAAGTGATACCATAAAGCAAAACTATATTAGAATAACTGGGATACCAGAAGAAGAGGAAAGAGAGGGGCAGAAGGTATATTGGAGTGAATTACAGCAGAGAACTTCCTAATCTGAGGAAGGAAACAGGCATTCAAGTCCAGGAGGGACAGAAACCACCCCCCCAAATCAATAAAAATAGGTCAACACCTTGATATATAATAGAAAGCTTGCAAATCTCAAAGACAAAGAGAAAATCCTGAAAGCAGCTAGTGACAAGAGGTATATAACTTACAAGGGCAGAAACATTAGACTGGCAGATCTAACCAGAGACCTGGCAGACCAGAAAAGACTGGTATGATATATTCCGGGTGATAAATGAAAAAAAAAAAAAAATGTGGCCAAGAATACTTTATCCAGCAAGGCTGTCAGTAAAAATAGAAGGAGAGATAAAAAGCTTCCAGGACAAACAGAAACTAAAAGAATTTGTGAACACTAAACTAGCTGTGCAAGAAACATTAAAGGGGATCCTTTAAGCAAAGAGAGAGCCCAAAAGTAACAAAGACCAGAAAGGGAACAGAGACAATATATAGAACCAGTGATTTTACAGGTAATACAATGGCACTAAATTCATATCTTTCAATACTTACTCTGTATGAAAATGGACTAAATGCCCCAAGCAAAAGACACAGAGTACCAGACTGGATAAAAACAAGACCCATGGCTACATTGTCTGGAAGAGACTCATTTAATTTTATTTTACTTTTAAAAGATTTATTTATTTGACAGAGAGAGAACATAATCAGGGAGAGAGGTAGGGAGAGGAAGAAGCAGTCTCCTGCAGAGCAGGGAGCCTGATGTGGCCTCAATCCCAGGACCCTGAGATCATGAATTGAGCCGAATGCAGACACTTAACTGCCTGAGCCACCCAGGTGTCCCAAGAGACTCATGTTAGACTCAAAGACACCTCCATATTTAAAGTGAGGGGGTGGAAAACCATTTATCATGCTAATGGACATCAAAAAGCAGGGTAGCAATCCTTATATCAGAAAAGATTTTAAACCCAAGACTGTAATAAGAGATGAGGAAGGACACTATATCATAATTAAAGGGTCTATCCAACAAGAAGATCTAACAATTATAAATATTTATGTCCCTAACATGGGAGCAGCTAATTATATAAACTGATTAATAGCAAAATTAAAGAAATGCATCAGTAATAATACAATAATTGTAGGGGACTTTAACACCCACCTCACTGCAATGGACAGATCATCTAAGCAAGATCAACAAGAAAACGAGGGCTTTGACACACTGGACCAGATGGACTTCACAGATATATTCAGAGCATCCCATCCTAAAGCACAGAATACTCATTCTTCTCTAGTGCACATGGAACATTCTCCAGAATAAGTCACATATGGGTCACAAATCAGGTCTCAACTGGTACCAAAAGCTTGGGATCATTCCCTGCATATTTTCAAACCACATGCTTTGAAACTTGAACCCAGTCACAAGAGGAAATTTGGAAAGAATTCAAATACATGGAAGTTAAAGAGCATCATACTGATGAAGTTCTAGAACCTAGGTGAGGTTCGGTGGGCTGCCGTCCGGAGCTGATGACCAAGAAAGAATTCTTGAGACATCTCTGGTGCAAAATGGTGGTTTATTAAAGCACGGGGACAGGATCCGTGGGCAGGAAGAGCCTTGTACCTTGAGGTTGGGGGAAGGTGAGGGGAAGGGAGGTTTCAATAGAACTTTCATATGCTAAAGAGGGCCTACAAGGTGCCAGGATACTGGAGGCCTTGCGGCTTGATCAATGTTGTCTTTTGGCAAGCCATTCACATTTCTGCTATCAAGCGTCTTTGTTAGTGAGATTTGGGTTTAGAAGAAATTTAACTTTATTTAGGGCTTGAGGAACTGAGTTATTTGCCTCTGGAAATTGTGCTATTGATAAGGTAACTTCTTTGTTTGTAGATCTCTAGGACATTTGTAAACCAAGGGAGACTCCTGTCTTTCAGGATTGTGATTTCTGCAAGTTAACTATTTGTTTATCATTTATGGCAGTCAGGGGTGCCTGAGGAATGCTACACATATGACCGAGGGGAAGTGGATGGAGAGGGGGTGCAAGGTGCCAGCTTTTGCTTTGTCTTCAGCCAGCCTCCTGCTCCCTCATCAATACTATAAAGAATGAAAGGTCAACCAGGAAATGAAAGAAAATTTTTAAAAAATTCATGGAAACAGGGGGGCTTGGGTGGCTCAGTGGGTTAAAGTCTCTGCCTTCGGCTCAGGTCATGATCCCAGAGTCCTGGGATGGAGCTCCGCATCGGGCTCTCTGCTCAGCAGAGAGCCTGCTTCCTCCTCTCTCTCTGTCTGCCTCTCTGCCTACCTGTGATCTCTGTCTGTCAAATAAATAAATAAAATCTTAAAAAAAAAATTCATGGAAACAAATGAAAATGAAAACACAACAGTTCAAAACTTTTGGGATGCAGGAAAGGCAGTCCAAAGAGGGGAGTATATAGCAATATAAGCCTTTCTCAAGAAACAAGAAAGATCAGTGGCACCTGGGTGGCTTAGTGGGTTAAGCCTCTTCCTTCAGCGCAGGTCATGATCTTGGGGTCCTGGGATCAAGCCCTGCATCAGACTCTCTGCTTAGCGGGGAGCCTGCTTCCCACCCCCTCTCTGCCTGCCTTTCACCTACTTGTGATCGCTATCAAAAAATAAATAAAATCTTAAAAAAAAAAAAGAAACAAGAAAGATCTCAAATACACAACTTAACCTTATACCTCAAGGAGTCGCAAAAACATTTTTTTTTACCTCTGAGAAACTGCTCACAAAGGAATTCCAGGCAGGGAAGCAGAGAGACATGCTCCTAGTTTTCCCGGATGATGCTTGCAAGAGGCTTAGCATTCAATGCTATTCCAGTTGTGGACACAAAGGCCCATGTAGCCCTTCCCTGAGGCATATGAAACTTCTTTGCCTTTAAATTGTGAGTAAAAAGATGACCCAGTGCTGCCTTGTTCAGGCATCCCTCACATCCCAAACTTTTTTTTTTTTTTTTTTTGGCCACAGCCCATAGAAATAAGGAACTTTTACCTCCAGTGCAGTAGACACTTTCATAAGTATACAGGAGCCTGAAGCAAAAACTTCATGAAATATGTTTACCACATACAATAATTTTTAATCTGTTGTTTCATTAAAAAGAAAAGCTCCTCATAATTTCTTAAATTGATTTCACAACCTGCAGTTTAAAAAACTGCAATCCTAGAGCCTGTCTCTAGGTTGGAATAGCTCCAGGGCTGAAACGCGTTATACAGGCAGTTCTCAACTAAGGGTCAGAATCTTTCCACTTGATGCTCCTGTATTACTTGGTTATTTGAAATTTGAAACATCTCCCATGAGACAAGGTGATTGGGAAGGGAAGAAACATTTACTGAGGATCTATTACACACATTATCTCATTTATTATTCCAACAAATGATCCTGACAGGAAGAAAATGTTCCACGACATAGATGGGAAGAGTGAGGCTCAGAGGCTAATAATAACTTCTCTAATGGAGTAGAATTGCTACTTGACCCCAGGTCATTTGAATCCAAAAACTGTGCTCTTTGTAGTATTAAGTTTACAATAGCTCACTTCAAATCCCAACTCCTCCAAAAAACAAAACCAAATAATCCCCATTCAGTCCAAATTCAGCAGAACACCATAGACCCTAATTACTTTATGGTAATCTTTGTAGAGATTATCCTTAGTTATAATTTAACATTCTCCTCACTGGTAGCAAGTTCCTCATACCCCATTAGTGGTCCAATTTTCTCCTAAAACAAGCCATAGCAATGGGAACAGAATTGTCAGTGACTTCTGAGGTAGCAGGGAGACAGAGGAGAGGGGGATGGCTTGAGGTGTTCCCAACACCAGTGGGGAAAATATGGGCACTTCTGGGATGGAGAGTAAAGGAGGTAGCGATGTCTGGCTCCTTTGCCGTGAGAGGTCTACCTCATTTCCATACATATTCTGCTTTCTGACACCCTTCTCCCTACTCAGGAATATCTGGGAATGAAATAACCTGAAAGAACAAGCTCTGCTTTTGCTCAGAGTTAAAATAACTCTTTGCATTGTGAAAGCTCAAGTAGGAACCACCTTTCTTGGCACAAGTGTCTCAGGCAGAAAGTTTACACTTTGATACTTAAAGATGGCAGGTGGGTGGATGGGGAGGTGAATGGTTCTTGAGGAACCAGTCTGGATATTCCCATCATAAAAACTCTTCTAGGCTTGATAAAGGAGCTCCTGGAGTGAAAAGTGAAAAGCACCTGCACGAGTCACCCCGCTGGTACCAGCCTGCTGCGAACTGTCCGCCACAGGCGCGAGGAATCCTAGCTGCAGCCCATCGGGGAATCGAGGTTCACATATTTATACCCGTGTGGCTAAAAACTTAGGAGCTGCTGGGTTTGCCGAGCTTTGGTCCCAGCAAGAATGAGCACTAGAAACACTCACATTCTTTCTCTTACCTCCTCCCTTCCATTCCCTCCTGAAGGAGAAAGGGTTCCCTCCGCTCACCTCAACTTGTCTTACCTATTAAATTCTTTCTGGCGCCGCTTTCTGTGGCTAGGCACCCCAAGCTAAAGGAGGAGCAAACAGACATTTTCTTAGTATTTTATTTATATTTTTGGAGAAGATCTACAGTTTCATGAGAAATGCTGATTTTTCTCAAGCAATAGAAAAAAGTTAAAAAAAAAAAAAAAGAATCTGTTGTCATATAAGAACGAAACAAGTCTCTTCAGCAAGCACTGGGCCAATTCAGACTGAAGGAACCAGTGAAGCAGAAGTGACATACGGGAAGTTCAGATTTATCCCAGTTCCGGAATAATGCAAACATCTTCTTGTCTAGTTCTGTAAGGTTCCAAGCGGACCATCTCAGGGAAACAGGAACCACATGGAAAAAGCCAGCCTCGGGGGGGCTTGTCTGGTTCTGTGCGCGGGGACAGCTCACTCTCCAGGAGGCTGCATCTGTTTACAGAACTCATCGAACTGCTGCTGCTCCAGTTCTGTCATGACTCTGTTGAGGGCATAGATCTGAAGCAGAGAAAACGATCTGTTAGTGCGAGCGGCAGCTGTTCCACCTGTCCTCAGACGCCACAGGCTGTGACGTTTGGAAATACCAGTAATGCAGCAGTGACGCAGGCGAGGGAGAAGGGCAGATGCTAATTCCATCCGGAGAATCAGGAGAGATGCGGTGGCTTGATCTGGCTTTTAAAGGGTCAGGAGGATTTGAACAAATAAGAGACTGCAGAAGGGACATGGGAGGTGACAGCCAGGGGGTAGTATGATGAGACAAATGAAATGGAGAAGTACAGGATTAGTTCTGGAAACTTCAGTGATGCCTATATGAAGGATATTAAAGAGTTCGGGGAGCTGGAGACAGTGACAAGTGCGTTAGGAGCCTTAAATGCCATTCCATGACCTCTGGACTTTGGCCAGACTCCGGAGAGCCAGCAAGATTAGTGTGCTAGGGACAACCTGATGGGATCTCTGCTTGGGGAGAGATAACTGGAGACCATGTGAGGGATAAAGGGGAAGAAGAGATGGTAGGCCACCTAGGCATCATTACAACAGTCCAGGGAGGAGGCGGCAAGAATATGACGCAGGGTAGGCAGTGGGGATGGAATGAAAACTGCAAGAGATATTCTCAGGTGAAAGGTAGGGTATCTACCTCATTCCTCACCTTTCTGTATCCTTGTGGTATCAATCTGCCTATTAACGAGCAGAAACATCAGAAAACTTTTCAATTTGTAGAAGGGAAAAATGAAGGAGTGTGTTTCTGTGTAGGTGATATAACTTGATTCGTTTAAGAAAAGACAAGAAAGGGGGAAAAAAGAACCCAAGAAGTGAGACAAATAGAAAACACAAAATAAAGAGCAGAAAAGGCAACTGAATGTGTGAGGATCACCAACCCTGCGAGATGGTTCTTTGAAAATACTAAAAAGAAAATCCTGCAAATCTCTGACATGATTCATCAAGACAAAAAGGTTGACATAAACAAACATTATTATAATACAAAAGGAAGAATAATTACTGATATAATGAGGATTAAATAAAAATATTATGAACTTTGTGTCAATAAGTTTGAAAACCGAAATGAAATGAATTGCTAGAAAGAGTAAAATGATCAAAATTGACTAAATAGAAAGTTTGAAAGATTCTATAATCCGCGCCCCCATTTTTTTTTTCTTACTATGGTAAGATCCTATAATCTTTAAGGAAAAGGTGAATTCCACAGTGATGGAAACAGTTCCAAAAACAACACAAATGATTCTCAAAAAGCTAACACTGATGGTTAAAATGGTTAACTTTTCTGTTATGTACATTTTACCATAATGAAAACACATAAACAAACAGATCTGAATAGTTTAAAAAAAGAAAAGAAGCTGAGTGAAGACAGCCAGTCACAGAATATGGTAACATATATGAAATTCAGAAACATGCCTGACTAGACAGCATACTGTTAGGCTGCAAAATATTACTTGGGGGTACACAGAGAAATACTAAATTAGTGCAGAACAGCAAGGGTATAATCAGCATAAAATCAAGGAACGAGGACACTGCTGGTGGGAAGGGTTGGGGATAGGACCACAGTGGGGCCCAAGGAGCTTCCAAGTTACTGGTCACATTCTATTTCTTTAGTTGGGTGGCACACAGGGTGTTGGTTTTGTTCATCTTCCTTAAGCTTTAAACATCATATATATGTGAATATACTTCTAATATATAAGCATTAGAACCTCTGCGTCTTCCATTCATGCTTTACTGAGCATTTTAATCTGCATGTGACTGAACTGGGGACTGAGAGGGAAACTAAGTAGCTCCTTGGAGACCTCTAGATCCAGAAGGCAGGCTGGTGGAAGGGAAAACAGAATAAGCAGAGAAAAAAGAGACTTAAAATGGGTCAGCAGGTCTGAGCCAAGGAATGAAAGACTTTCAGGAAGGAAAGGGTGTTCAACTGCGTCAAATGCAGGCCACATGCGCCCTCTGTTCCATTTACTCCTCAAGATGCTCCCACTTATCTAACTTTCTGGACTGCGGCATCTATGTAGAACTGAATGCAAACCGTGTGTCTTCCTCCCCACAAGGGTCTTGTCACATTCCTATCTTAGGAGATCACATTCCAGGCAGCACAGATAAAGCCAACGGCAGCAGCCCAAGGTCAGATGTGTTTCGCTCGCAGTCTACCCCTCCATCCCTGAGGGGCTAGGGGTTCTGTGCTTCCAAGTGAGGATAATATCTTCTACGTCACAAAGTCACCTATTTTATATTTATACCTCCCTGCCTTATGCCAGGCACGACTTACAAAGGTCGGGATGGGATTAGCAACAATCAGCTTTGGTGTGAGGACACCTGTGGTCAAGCGCATGCAAGCGGGCCCCGTGCCTGGCAGTATTACATGGCAATATTCCAATATTAGATTCCAGTATTCCATTTTGGCACGTCACCATCAACACAATCAGTCCTTCCACCCAGAGTCTGCCCAATCAAAGCAGGCCAACTGCTGGGAAGCCCATGGTTCCTGCTGAGGACGGCTGCCATTTGCTGAGTGCTTTACACACAGCATCTCTGTTCCTCCTAACAGTCTTTGAGGTAGATATCATCACCCTTGTTTTGCAAGGGGGAACTGAGGCACTGAGGTGCAGAGAGGTGAAGCATCCTGTCCGAGGTCCCATGGGAAGAACTGGGGTTCATGACAAGCTGGAATTTGGAGTCAGACTAAGACATCTAACCTGTGGAACCTCATCAGAAGGATGCCGTAAGGACACGGAGAATGTCCTTCATATTTATCCCTACAGTGTGCGCAAGGGACGGTTTCTTCAGGCTGTTTCTTACAACAACACTCCAACTGCTCCCCAAAGTGCAATGCAGTCCAATTATCGGGGGGCCTGGATCCAGGTGGCGAGGGGAAGGTGAAGGAAAGGGGAGAATGATTTGTTAGGATCCATGTCCACAGTTCTCAGATGGTCTGTCTTAATCCAAAGGTGGATTTCAGTTTATGGATTAACTTTGAACACACTATTCAATTTACTTATTATACTGACTGTCTGCCTTTCGCACTGAATGCAAGCTCCACGAAGGTGGGGATTCTTCTCTGCCTTGTCCACTCGTGTATCTCAGGCTGGGCAACAGTGCCAGGTGCACAGTGGCTCAGTTTTACAGGTGGATCAAATCAACATAAATTTAAAGTTGGCCACTATCAAGATGGAGAAGTAAGGAATGAGAACCCTCTTAGACTGCTGATGGGACCGCACACTTGTACAATCCGTTTGACAGCAATCTGGCAACGTCTAGTAAAACTGAAATACACACGGTAAATCTACTTCTAGTCATGTATGCTCCACAGAAATGATAGCACAGTGCCAAAGGAGACATCTAAGTTTTTCACTACAGCAATGTTTGTAGTAGCGAAAAAACTGTAAATAATTTAAATGTTCATCACTGGAGGAAGGAGAAAATATACTAGATTCGTAAAATGGACGACTGTATCTCTCTCTCTTTACCCCTCTATGTTCATTTGTTTTGTTTCTTTCTTTTTTTTTTTTTAAAGATTTTTTATTTATTTATTTGACAGACAGAGATTACAAGTAGGCAGAGATAGGCAGAGAAAGAGGAGGAAGCAGGCTCCCTGTCGAGCAGAGAGCCTGACGTGGGGCTCGATCCCAGGACCCTGGGACCATGACCCGAGCTGAAGGCAGAGGCTTTAACCCACTGAGCCACCCAGGCGCCCCTCTTTTTTTTTTTTTTTTTCCCTTAAAAATTTTATTTATTTGACAGAGAGACACAGCGAGAGAGGGAACACAAGCAGGGGGAGTGGGAGAGAGAGAAGCAGGCTTCCCACCAACCAGAGAGCCCAATGTGGGGGCTCGATCCCAGAACTCTGGGATCATGACCTGAGCTGAAGGCAGACGCTTACAACCTGAGCCACCCAGGCGCATCTTATTTATTTAGTTTCTTAAATCAAGAAACAGACTCTCGAATACAGAGAACATACTGATGGTTACCAGAAGGTGGGAGGGATGGGTGTGATGGGTGATGAGCACTGGGTGCCATATGGGAAGTTCGGAGTCACTGTCTTGTACACCTGAAACTAATATTACACTGTATGTTAACTAACTGGAATTTAAATGAAAACCTAAACAATAAAAATAAATCTGGGGCACCTGGGAGCTCAGTAAGTTAAATGTCTGACTTCAGCTCGAGTCATGATCTTGGGGTCCTGGGATGGAAGCCTGCGTGGGGCTCCCTGCTCTCTCTCTCAAATAAATAAAATCTTTAAAAATAAATAAAAATAAAACAGACTACTATACGCAGTGATGAGGAATAAACTAGATTATATTAACATGAACAGTTCTAAAAAACCTATGTAAGCAAAATGTAAAATAAAACAGAATTAATGTAAAATTTTAAAACATAAAAAGAATATTATATGTTACTCAAGGATATCTAATAATATATGAGTGTAAAAGCATAAAAAGTTATAGTGGACGTCCACAGAGAGGGAAAAAGGGTATAAGACAGGAAATGGACAAAGAGGACTTTAAATTCATATGTAATTTTTATTTATCTAAAAGGCTCCAGGTGAATAGGACAAAATAGTAACCACTACCAATCTGACATGCTAAGTACCCTGGTGTTTGTTCTAATATTTTGTTTTTCTGTATTTTAAAATTTCTCAAAAGGGAAACAAAATGCCTAGAAAGAGGGAAAAATTTGCAGCAAGCTTTCTTCTGATAATAAATACTAAAATAAAAATACATGTCTGGATGTGGTGCCACACGGGTAGCGTGAGCAGTTTAGCTTTTCATTCTGAAGTTGATCCCAAGTGTTGACTGCACAAAGAAACAGGTTTGGTGGGTGTAGAGCTTGGGCCTCTACTTCTGGTTATAAGCAGCTACTCTCCAGGCCAACACCTGAACATCTGCGCTAGGGGGTGTCCAACACTTGGTTGTCTCACTCTGACCCCTCCCTTCCATGCCCCTTCTCTTTTTCCTTTCTTTCTTCCACAAAAGCTCTGCACCAGAAGTCATCTGGAGACTGTCAGGGTTCTGACACTAACCTGGCATGTGACTCTGGGCTGTCACTTCATCATCCTGAACCTCACTGATCTCCTGGGAGAAGAGCTGTTATACTGGGAGGCAGGTAGCACGCCCCCCACAGCTCTCCCCTCTTCTCATTCTCTATTCCAGCATCATCTCCAGCAGACTACAGGTGTACAGGCCTCCTCCTTAATCTCACCTCTGCTCTTTGTCTTTGCTTCAGCTCCTGCTGGGCTGATTTCTGCTTGGCCTTCTCAACTCTGCTGACAGGTTCTTTAACTTTGGATTTTTCTTTCCGCGTAGGTTGATCCATGACTTAACTTCTGAACACTTGTTAGCTCTGACCTGGATGGTGCAGAAGAGACTGACTGATTAACAAAAGAAAGAAAGAAAGCACAGCAAAGAAAAAGAATTTCCAGTCCCTCCCTTCACTAATCCCAGAGTTCAGCCCCCTCCCTTGACAGATGAGGCAGAGTGGCCCCGTGGAAAGGGCGCTGGATTCGGTGGACTAGGGTTGAACCCACCGCCATGACCTTGCTGGGTGTCCCTGGGCAAATTGTTTTAATACCTATTTTTCTGAAATTTAAAAATTTTTTTTCTGTATTTTTAATTTCTAAGGAAAGAAAAAGAAATGAATAAAACTAATAGACGGGAGGCAGTGCGGCAAACTTTCTCCTGATATTAAATACTAAGATACTTAAATACTAAATTAGAATCCTCTCTCTACTCTGAGCCTTAGTTTCGTGTCTGCAAAATGGGACAACAGCCCATTCGCGTGAGGACCAAGCGACAGGGCCTGGCTCTTCTAACCGTGAGGACACCGCGGCCCCGAGGGGCGAGCCAGTTCCAACCCCGGCGCGGGGCAGCGGGGAGGCTCGGGCCTCGCGCCGTCTCCGGCCTCAGGGCCAGGCCCTCCCACCTCCCCGCGGCCGGACAGTTACCGCCCCGCTCGGCCGCAGGGCCCCCGCCCGCCCCCGCCCGCCCCCGCCCGCCCCCGCCCGGGCCCGCCCTCCGCCACAGCCCGCCCTGGGCCCAAGTCCGGCCCCAGGGGACGTTCCCCCGCCCGCCGCTGCCCTCTCCGGGTGCAAGATGGCGGCGGGCGACGGTCGGGAGTCGGCGCCAGCCCGCCCCGTCTCGGTACTCCGGGATTCCGCCGCGTCGCCGGCAAGACCCCACGTGGGACACCCCGGCTTTCCCCTACCTCCGGGTCTGGAGTCGCTAGCCCACCGCGCCTCGGATTGGGCGGGGCCGGGGCGGTGACCCGGGGGCGGGGCCGGGAGGCGGGGCGGCGGCGGAAAACAGGAGCGCTCTGAGGCCCCGCCCCCTGGGGGCTGCGCGTGCGCAGAAAACACATCTGGGCGTCTCCTGTCTTTCCGGAGCGTGGGCTCTGGGACTGGGGAGGTTTAACAGTGCAGTTCTCGGGAACATTTTGTGGGGCAGCTGCTAGGCTTTGAAGGGTGAGATGGGAAGCCTGGGATGAGAATTGTGACATTCTGGGCCTCAGTTTCTTACTTCGAAAAGCAGGGATGGTGATTTGCGCCTTCTTGATCTACGAGCTTGTTAGGAGCAGCAAGTGAAGTCCTGCCGGCCACGGGACTTTAAAGAAGGATGTCAGGACAAATGTAAATAACCAGTATAAGTATAGAGAAACGTTCAAGCTCACAGATAATACATCATTTTATAGTTACAGTTGTTTTACAATTAGAATTTTACAATTATTTTGTCAAATTAAAATAGTTGGCTATCGTTTTTCATTGATTAGAACAGGATTGAAGAAAATGGTAGGTAAATGCTTTGACAACAGAAATCTTGTTCAGTCTAATAATAATGATATAATAATAATAACAGGGGCCTCTGGGTGGCTCAGGCGGTTAAGCCTCTGCCTTACACTCAGGTCATGATCTCGGGGTCCTGGGATAGAGCCCCCTCCCCCTTTCTCTGCCTCCCTCTCTGCCTGCTTGTGATCTCTGTCTGTCAAATAAATAAATAAAATCTTTAAAAAATAATAACAATAGCTGCCTCTTTTCAGAGCCTATGACATCGCAAGCACAGTTCTTAGAGCTTCACATTTATTAACTCATTTATTCCTTTTGATAAATGTGTCCAGTAATATACATGTGTAATAACATGTTATTATCCCCATCTTACAGATAAGGGAAGAGAGGCACGGAGCAGTTAAATGACTTGTCCATGGTTACACAGCTAGTAAGTATCGGGGCAAGTACTTCTGCTAGGTTTCAGGCTAGGACAATGGCCTATCCAGGAGAGGACATGTCCTCCAGATCCCCTACTTCTGTTCCTCTAAGAATCAGGCAAGAATTGAAACAACTGATGGATGCTAAGCAGGAGGTTGTTCAATGGATATAGAGTTTCTGTTTTGTAAGATGAAAAAGTCCTAAAGATCTTTTGCGCAAGAATATGCATTTATTTAATACCACTGTACTTTACACTTAAATAAGGTGGGAAATTTTATATTACGGGTTCTTTTTAACCACAAAAATTGAAAAAGCGCAACCTTTATTCAGCAATTCCACTTCTAGGTTATCCAAAGTATCAGAGATAGCACTATTCTTTTTTTTTTTTTTTTAAGATTTTATTTATTTATTTGACAGAGAAAGATCACAAGTAGGCAGAGAGAGAGAGTGGAAAGCAGACTTCCTGCGGAGCAGATAGCTGGATGTGGGGCTCCATCCCAGGACCCTGAAACCATGACCTGAGCCGAAGGCAGCGGCTTAACCCACTGAGCTACCCAGGCGCCCCAGAGATAGCACTCTTCTTCAGCGTAAAAAAAACTGCAAACAACCAAAATAATTGTAACAGGAGTTGATTAAATAATCAATAGGATAGCTGACATGGGATTCTATGCAGCCATTAAAATGACATAAAAGAATATTTATTGACATAATAAAACATTTTTATTAAATGAAAAAGTTACAAAGCGGAACATACAACATAATCACAGCATTTGTCTCAAAAAAAGTATTCTATACATACAGGAAAGAGGATGTATGAAAACATAGCAAAACATAAATCCAGATTATTTTGAGAGCAGAGGGTATTTTCTTTTCTTTTCTTTTTTTTTCTTTTTTTTTTTTGAGAGAGAGAGGCAGAGTGAGCAAGCAGGGGCAGGCACAGAGGAAGAGGGAGAGAGAATTTTTTTTTTTTTTTGAGATTTTTTTTATTTATTTGACAGACAGAGATCACAAGGAGGCAGAGAAAGAGGGGAAAGCAGGCTCCTTGCTGAGCAGAGAGCCCGATGCGGGGCTCAATCCCAGGACCCTGAGATCATGGCTTGAGTCAAAGGCAGAAGCTTAATCCACTGAGCCACCCAGGCGCCCTGAGAGACAGAATCTTAAGCAGGCCATACCCAAGGTGGAGCCCAAAGAAGGGCTCCAACTCACAACCCTGAGATCATGACCTGAGCCAAAATTGAGAGTCAAATGCCTTAACTGACTGAGCCATCCAGGCACCCTAAGAGCAGAGGGGATTTTTATCTTCTTTGTGCCTTTCTGTATTTTAAAAAATTTCTACAAAGAATACTTACACTTTAGCAAGATTTATACTTTCTTTTAATTGAGGAATGTTTAACAAATATTATTTTAAGCTTCTATATTAATGTTGATTGGATTATTGTTAATAATAAAAATAGTCAGATTAGATTATACTATATTACGGCTGGAAACAGGGCAGGAACCTTGGAAGGCTTTAGAAAGCCAACTAAAACAGACTGGATATAGGGTATGAAGGAGTGGAAAAGCCAAAGGAGAATATTTGGAAAAATAGTGGAGACAATTTTAGGAATGAAGGTATGCTGTGTTGGCTTGGGAAAGGATTGAGGTAGAGGGTGCGTGTATACCTAAGAGAGAGTTAGTTTACACTTAGAGGTGGCAAGAAGTTGTCTAACTCCAGAAAGGTACAGGTGTGGAGACACTGGTTTGGAATTCTTCATCAGGAAAGTGAGGTTGGATTCTGGAGGGAATGAAAGTCCCCTCCTTGTTCTTCCTCTATGAGTTTATGATATCTATCTATCTATCTATCTATCTATCTATCAACCTCTGTATCTATCTTTCTGTCTTTTTGTGACCACCAACAGACTTGGCCAGTGTGCACAATTCCCTACTTAGCTGAGCCAAAGTTTCCATTAGTATGACTATGGAATATTTTTACACTTAAGCTGTATACCAGACTAAGATTCCTTTCACTTTATTGAACAACTTTTCCCTCCTAGAGTCCAAAATTCCTTTTTTTCCCATTCACTTAATTATGCATCTATTGTTAATTCTTCTGTTAATTCTGCCCCCAAAATTTCCATCTGGACTGTAAAACACCTCTTGATCTGGTCACATGAATCTGGTGATCTTTCAGGGTCTTTTTTTTTTTTCTTGGAGACATCCTTCCTTGGGCCCGTCCTCCTCTCTCCATCCTGGCCTCACTGTCCAACTGTTGTCCTAGGATTTCCCCTAACCACATCCTGGGGATTCCCATCTTACTCCCTGGTGCCAAATCTCCTGATCTTCCATTTGTGATTTATTCTCTCATTTTAGAAGAGCACATTCTCCAGTAACCTCCCCAGAAGGAGTTCATGGGAGGTAAATTTTTGAAACTTTGCTTGTCTAAAAATGGCTTTATTTTACTCTCACACTTGGCAGCTTGACAGGATACAGATTTCTAGATTGGAAATCGTACTCAGAATTTTAAAGGCATTGATCCATTGTTCTTTAGCTTCTCACGTGGCTAGACTCTGAAGAGGTCGATTTAATCTGATTTCCATCACGTCCTCTATAATTTTTGTTTGTGAGTTTGTTTTCTGGAATTTTTTAGGATATATGTTTTTCCTTCATCTTTGGTACTCTGAACCTTCATAATGATATGCCAAGGTAAGTTTTTTGTTCATTGTGCAAGGCACTCAGGAAATGTGTAGGCTTTGGGAAGATGTTCTCTATGATAGATTTCCTTGTTTTAAAAATCTTTTCTTTCTCATTTTCCATCTCTTGGTTTTGCTTATTCTACTTTTTAAGAGATTTTCCTGAACTTTATCCCCTAGCTCTTCTCTTGAATGTTTTAGTTTCTGCTATAAAGTTTTAATTTCCAAGAGTTTTTCCTGGTTCCCTAGCTTTCCTTTAGGTAAACCTCTTGCTCTGTGTTGTGGATTCAGGATCTTCTCTTATTTCATATTTCTGAGGACATCAATTGTAATTTTCTGCTATTTTCTTTTACTTCCTAGATTGTCTTTGTTGTTTATTTTGGTCTCTGGCTTTGGCTTTGAAGTTGGAGGCTTTCCTCAAGTAATGATAATAACTACCATATATTGGGTGTCAAGCACTGTTCTGAACATTTTACATGTTTTAACTAATTTAATCCTTACTCCATCCCAATGAGGTAGTTAACCATTCTTACTGGTAAGGAAACTGAGACACAGGAAGTTAGACTCTCACCCAGGTCACAGAGCTTAGAAATGAATCTGAATCTAATCAAACCTCTAGGTTTCCAATTCACAGGAAATATCATGGTTAGAGAAATAAATTAAATAATACCACTTGAAAGCAATCAGCCAAATCCAGAATATAGGACATAGTACAAGGCAAATTTCTAAGTTTTTTTTTTAATTTTTTAAAGAATTTTATTCATTTATTTGACACAGAGAGAGACAACAAGGAGGCAGAGAGGCAGGCAGAGAGAAAGGGAGAAGCAGGCTCCCTGCCGAGCAGAGAGCCTGATGCGGGGCTCGATCCCAGGACCCTGAGACCATGACCTGAGCCGAAGGCAGAGACTTAACCCACTGAGCCACCCAGGCACCCCAGCAAATTTCTAAGTTTTACCAACAATCAAGAGTATAAAGAAAAATTTTAAAAGAAGAGCAAAGGGGGGCACCTGGGTGGCTTAATCGGTTAAGCCACTGCCTTCAGGTCAGGTCATGATCTCAGAGGCCTGGGATTGAGTCCCGCATCAGGCTCCCTGCTTAGTGGCCAACCTACTTCTCCCTCTCCCTTTTTGATGCACTCTCTCTCTCTCTCTCAAATAAATAAATAAAATCTTAAAATTAAAAGAAGACAGAGGGATCATTATAGAATAAAGACCCTTTAGGAACTTAACCAGAAAACGTAATATGTGTATCTTGCTTAGATCCAGATTTTAACAGACCACGTGTAAAAAGACATGTTTGACATCATTGAAAATGTGCGAACGTAGACTGCATATCAAATAATATCAAGGGATTATTGCCAATTTTGGTAGGTGTAGTGATAGCATGATGTATGTAGTTGTGTGTGTATTTGTGTGTACCTTAAAAATTATTGAGGACCTTAAAGAGCTTCAGCTTATATGGGTTATATTTTTTGCAATTTTCCGTAGTAGAAATTGAAGTAAGAAGTTTTCAATATAATTATTACTTCACTTAAAGACAATAATAGGGAGGTGGGGTTGGGGTAACTGGGTAATGGGCATTAAGGAGGCACGTGATGTAATGAGCACTGGGTGTTACATAAAACTGGTGAGTCACTTGACCTCTACCTCTGAAACTAATAATATATTCTATGTTAATTAATTGAATTTAAATTAAAAAATTTTAAGAAGACAATACACATGTTAACATAAACACTTCTGTTAACATAGACATGTTAACATAAACATGACATAAACATAACATATACACATGTTAACATAAACAACATGTTATATGAGAAACAGCTATGTTCTGAAACAAAACAATTAGTGAGAGGAGTGGCAATGTTTTACATATCTCTACATCTCTTAAGCATCTGGCTGGTTAGAAGTCCGCTGGATTCTCATATGGGCTCTTGCATTTGGTCTGTGGCAGTAGGCTGTGTGGTTGAAGTGGATGTAACTGGAAAAGAGGCATTTCAATCACCTCCTCAGATAATTGTGGATATTCTTTGATAATATAGCCAAACTTGGCAAGTGGTAGTCTCTGAAAGGTTACTGCAGCATAGGATCTAAAATCATACCAGTAAACTTTTCTTGTCTTTTTCCCCTTTAGGCTTGATTGAGATATAATTGACAGGTAGGTATACAACTTGTAAACTTGATACGCTTACACTGGGAAATGATTACCACCATAAAATTAGCTGATACTTCTCCATCCTGTCACAAAATTACCTTTGTTGTGGTGGGAACATTTAAGATGTACTTTCTTAGCAACTTTCAAATGTATAATACACCAGCGAACTTCTCATACTCTGCCACAGTTAAACCCACTCACTGGTGTATCTTGCATATTGAATAGATCTTTTATCTTTGCCTGATTTTGTCAAGATATGCATTAACCATTTGGAAGTTACTGGTTCACGGACTTAGGCAGATGTTTCAAATGTTGACACATTTCATTACACAACATCAAAAAAATCACTAATCCTTAATGTCACTACCAAGCTCATGAGAACTATCTGTTTTTATTGGGATCTCTCGAGCCCACAGGAGCAGATGAAATGTCAACACAACGAAAAAATAAATAACAGCTTAGTATTATTGTGAACATAAGAATACCAGGGGACCTCATGAAAGGGTCTCAGGAGCTCCTGGAGTTCATGGACCCCACAGACCCCACACATGGCTGTCTTAAAGAAACTCTTGCACATGTGAACCAGGAAAGAATGTTCCTAGCAAAAAATGAAACAAGACCGGATCGGGAGGGAGACAAACCATCGGAGACTCTTAAGCTCACGAAACAAACTAAGGGTTGCTGGGGGGTGGGTGGGGAGGGATGGGGTGGCTGGGTGGTGGACATTAGGGAGGGTATGTGCTATGGTGAGTGCTGTGAAGTGTGTAAGCCTGATGATTCACAGACCTGTACCCCTGGGGCAAATAATACATTATATGTTAATTAAAAAAAAAAAATGTTCCTAGCCTCTGTTTGTAGAAGCCAAAGCCCAGACACAAACCACATTTTTATCAATGAGGAAATGGACGAAATGTTGGCATATTCCTACAGTGTCTACCACACAGTGGGGAATGAATGTACCAGAGCTCTGTGAATCCATCTGGATGAATTTTGGTATCTTAATCTGTACCCCACCAAAAAGGAGAGTATGAATTGAGTCCTTCTGTGCAAGAGTTTACTTAGGAGGTGATCCCAGGAATCAGGGTGTGCCTGGGTGGCTCAGTCGTTAAGTGACCCAGGTCATGATCCCAGAGTCCTGGGATTGAGCCCTGCATTGGGCTCCCTGTTCAGCGGGGAGCCTGCTTCTCCCTCTCCCACTCCCCCTGCTTGTGTTCCCTCTCTTGCTGTCTCTCTCTGTGTTGAATAAATAAATCTTAAAAAAAATAATAATAATAAAGGAGGTGATCCCAGGAATCAGAAATGGTAAGTGAGAAGAAAAGGAAGAAAAAGTGCTAAAATTGCATTATTGAACTACTGATGTCTGTGGGTTACTGAGCTCATTCCCTCTGGGAACTCTCTGAGGTGTCGTGTAGAATACAGCTCAGAACTGTCCCTCCGGAGGTGTGAGGCTAGAGCATTTTCTGCTGATGCCTGTCACTGCCCAGTTTATCCCCTGGGGTATTAAGGTTCCTGAACTCCTGGGCTGCATACAGGTTGAACAGCCTTCCCAGCCTTTGTAGAGGCCAGATTCAGATAAGCAAAGAGACACTGTGGCCTTTGAGGTGGCTTGCTGGCAGCTCGCCTACAAGTTTCAGCTACTTCCTCCTGCCACAATGGGGCAAGGGTGGGGGGCGGGGCTGAGGGCCTATAGTGTGGGCCAGCACAGGTGTCTGCTAGACTCAGAAACTAAGGTTGAGTGAAAAAAGGAAAATCACAGGGAATTAAGTACAATGTGCTCCATCTGTATAAAGGTCAAAAATACATAATGCATTGTTAAGGATACAATTATGGATGTTATGAATGTAGAGGTATGGATATTATGAAAGCAAGCCAGGCAGGAAAGGGTTTATCACATGTTGGGAGACAGTAAGCAAGTCTGTTTGTCAGAAAACACACGTCGGGGTGCAGCTGGAGATAAAGGTAGTGGGTTAAAGAAGGCAGCTAATTGGTGGGTGTCTTTGAAACCAATCTTCAATTTTACTCTAATATGGGAAGTAAAGGGGAGCAAGCTTGTCCGAAAGAGTATGATAGGATCAAAACATATTGCAGGGAATCATTACGCAGTTAGCTTGGGAGGGAAAGGGGGCTGAGGGGCAAAGTTCCCTTACACTGGGTGGCACTGGGAATGTTCCCTCGCTTTTAGCCTCCTCTTTGCTCTGTTCCTTTATCAGGAGCAGACAGGCAGGGTGTGGCTTGTTGGTGTATAGGAGACATCTAGGGGAGCCCCTGGCTTTGGGCTTCGAATAAAAAGGTGAAATCTTCCCAGGCTCACCTCCATGGCCTTCCTGATGTCCCTGTCCGGTGCCTCATCTTCCTGAATGGCCGGAGGGAGCATTCCCAGCTTGGAGACTCCAGCTCTGCTGGTGAGGGACAGAGGGCCCTCGATTCCAAAGGTGGTGAGTCCTTCTCCCTCTCTCTTCTCTTCATTCTTTTGTCTTTGGCTGTCTGAGGATCCTCCAGTCCGTTGGAGAAACTATCCGCCTTGTCGTCACTCACATTTTAAAGGATGAAATGGGGGAAGGGGAAACGGGCACAAAAGGATGAGTGACCAAGGGGGCTGGACAAGAGGGTCTTGACGAAAGACTCTCATTGAAGTAGTATTGTTATCAATCTTAATTATGAAAGCTATCATTTATTTAACCCTTATTATTAGCTGGGTCCTGTACTGTGTGCATTTACACTGATCATCTGCAGATTTTCAGCGTCTAGTCTTAGTCTGCTTGAAGCTGTCAAGGGAACTTCCATTGTGTGTTTTTTTCCTGACTTAAAAGTTTTGAAATTAAACTTTTTCAATTAGCAATAATCGCACCTCGGATAAACCTCATTGGCTACGATACTGCCACTGCGCAAAGCTTGAAATTAAACTTTTAAAAACCCAAATGTAAATGAGTGCCTGGGGACAAAATGTTTCCAACATGTGTAGCAGAAAAAAATTGTTACCATATGAAGAATTTTGCAAGCCATTAAAGAGGCAAATGCCCACATTAAAAAATGGACAAAGTGTTTAGACAGGTAATTGACAAAGTCCAAATAACAATTAAGTAATCAAGAAATATAAATCAAAATAAAACACCATTAATTATTTTAAAAGAGATACATTTTGCTACTCATTAAAATGACAATGATTTTTTTTTTTAAACATAAAACCCTGTGATGGCAAGATTGTGGGAAACAAGCAATTTCCTAACTTTGATCTGACAATTTGAAATTTGACAATTCTTAGAAGGCAATTTGGTAGTGCACATTAAGAGTCTGTTTTGAAGATGGGAAACTCAAAGCCCAAGAGTTTAAGTGACTTGCTTAAAGTTACAGAGTCAACAGTTAGGAACTAAACCAAGATTAGGGCTAAGACTTCTAACTCTAGTCCTCAATGCATTATCAATTGTAGCAATGCTTATAATAACAACGTGTTGAAAACATAAATATTCTACAAATGTAGAATCATTTTAAAAATTCTCTGATATCCATGATGGAATACTTAAATCATTAAAAGAATATTTGATGGTATGGGAAAATGTACATAATGTAGTACTTGGGAAAACTGGCAAATATCAACAGTGTGGTCCAATTTAAAAAAATAATAATACACAGGCATGGACAAAATATTTGAAGAAACATCTCTGAGTGGAGGGATTACAAATGATTTTTAAAATTTTAACCATTTTGGGGGGTAATTTCCAGATTTTCTACAATAAGGATAGAAAGCAATACATTTTATTTAATAAAAACCTCTTTAAAAAAGATTTATTTATTTATTTGAGTGAGAGAGAGGGAGGGAGAGTGGGAGAGCACAAGCAGGAGGAGTGGCAGAGGGAGAGAGAGAGAGAGGCACACTCCCCGCTGAGCAGGGATCCTCCCTGTGTGGGGCTCGATCCCAGTACCCTGGGATCATGACCTGAGCGGAAGCCAGACACCTAACAGCCTGAGCCACCCAGCTGCCCCTAAAAACTTTTTTTAAATGGCTGAAATACTATGGGGCTATCCAGGAGGTGAATTGGAGCTGACTGACTGGTGGGTGCCTGTCAGGGCAGGAAAATCCTATCTCAGAGGGCATGTGAGAGGCTCACAAAGTCTGAGGGAATTTGAGGCCATGACTGGGGACATAGTGAGAAAAGAGAGATTTTAGTTCCTTGAAGTTGGATGAGTACAAAGAAAAAAAAAATTAGAATTCTGATACAGCAATGAAAAAATACATATTTACATATAGCAGTGTACTTGGGGGACATGCTGTACTATGGGGGTCTTATACGAGAGGTGGCATCTTGACAGCCAATGATGAAGACTCCCACCCACTATCTGTTCACCCTTTTCTATTTCCAATCATTTTCTTCTATCCTGTCTCCCCACTACCATCTTTAATTTCCTCCCCTGTTCTTAGGTTTCTTCTCCCCATCAGACTTGGAAATGTGCACTGAATACCATGGTTCTCCTTCACCACTACTCTGCCCTCTGAAGGTTCTCAACATTAGACACTGGCTAATCCTCCTCTAACTCAATAATTTTGTAAACTTGAGCATCACGTTTCCTAATTAAGTTATTTCTAGCAAAGAACTGAAAATTTTTCCTTTTCATGAAGCAGAATTATAGTATATTAGAACTGGAAAAGAATTTAGTGCTCCATCTAATCAAAACTCCTTAATTACACAAATTTACTTTTTGCTGAATTTAGTTTTGTGATACATATTTTTATTGTTATAGTGTGCTTTATTAATAAGTTAGGAAATAGAGATGAGAAAAAATTGTCTGTATTTCCAACGTCTTAATTATTAACCATCCCTATTTTATGGGACTTACTCTCAACTCCTTTCTTAAACTCTCTTTAGTCTAGTTATAATCATTGTAAACATGTTATTTCATATTTTGATTTTAATACATTATTATTAGTTTTCACTTGAAACATAGGCTTGATGAACCATAATTTATTTAGTCATCTTCCTTATTGATGTGTTTGTAGATAGTCCAGTTTTTCACTATTATAATAATACTGCTGAGGTCATGTAACATTTTTTCTTTTAGATTCTTTTTTTAGAGTAGAGTTCCAGAATATTTCCTACTGGATTGAAGGGCAAATACATTTGTTTACCTCTTGGTACTTTCCAATTTACACTGAACTCAACAAATGTAAGTGAATCTCCCATTTTAAAAATGGGAAACCTAAGGCCTAAGACACAGTGATTTGCTCAAAGTTACAAAGTCACATAGTAAGTTAGGGACTAAGACAGGACTAAAACCAAGCCATCTGACTCTAGCCTTCCATTCACCAAGGATACTAGCTTTTCCTTTACCATTTGGTTTTATTTAGCATTGGATTCTTTGAAATTTTCTCACTGACTTACTCTTTGCTTTTTTCAGATGATATTATGAGTGAAATTCACATCTTTTTTTTTTAAAGATTTTATTTATTTATTTGACAGACAGATCACAAGTAGGCAGAGAGGCAGGCGGGGGGGGGGGGCGGGCAAAGCAGGCTCCCTGCTGAGCAGAGAGCCCGATGCGGGGCTTGATCCCAGGACCCTGAGATCATGACCGGAGCTGAAGGCAGAGGCTTTATTAACACACTGAGCCACCCAGGCACCCCATGAAATTCATGTCTTTAATTAAAAAGCTAAGCTCTGGGGCCTGGGTGGTTCAGTTGGTTAAGCAACTGCCTTCAGCTCAGGTCATGGTTCCAGAGTCCTGGGATCAAGTCCCGCATTGGGCTCCCAACTCCATGGGGAGTCTGCTTCTCCTTCTGACCTTCTCTGCTCTCATGCTCACTCCCTCTCTCTCAAATAAATAAAATCTAAAAAAATTAAAAAATAAAAAAGCTAAGATCTAACATCACACTACTCACACTCTACCCAACAACAGAATACACCTTAAGAAACACACACACATGAAACATTTACCAAAATAGACCATATGCTAGCACATGAAACAAGTCAGTAAGTTTAAAAGGATTCAAATCATACAGTATATGTTTTTTGCCTACAATGGAATTAAATTAGAAATTAATAAACAGAGGGGTACCTGGGTGGCTCAGTTGGCTTAGCACCCAACTCTTGGTATCGACTCAGGTCATGATCTCATGGGTTTTGGGATCGAGTCCCAGGTCCGGCTTGATCAAGTGGGGAGTCTGCTTGAAGATTCTTTCTCTCTGTCCCTCCCTACCCCCATGCTTGTGCACATGCTCTCTCTCTCTAAAATAAATAATCCTTAAGAAAATGAAATTAATAACAGAAAGGCATCTTGAAATTTCCCAAATATTTAGAAACTAGATAACACACTTCTGAATAACCCACAGGTCAAAGAAGAAATCAAAAGGGAAATTAGAAAATATTTTGAACATAATGAAAATAAAACCACCACATATTAAAATTCGTAGGATGTCACTAAAGCAATAGCTATGGAGAAATTTATAGTACTACATGAATATATTAGAAAAGATCTTAAATCAATGACCTAAACAACAACAAAAAAGACAAACCCAAAGGAAGCAGAAGAAAGGAAGTAATAACAATCCAAGCAGAAACTGATATAGTAGAAACCAGAAAAACATTAGAGAAAAGCAATGAAACCAAGAGCTGGTGATTCTTTGAGAAGATCAATAAAAATGATAAAGCTCTAGCCAGACTGATCAAGAAAAAAGAGACACAAATTACCAATGTCAGAAATGAGAGAGGTGACATTACTACATTAATTATTTAATGAAGCAAATTCTTGAAAGACCCGAACTACCAAACTCACTCAAGAAGAAGTGGATAATCTGAATGAGCCTATGTTTATTAAAGAAATTGAATGTGTAGTTACAAACCTTCTCATAAAGAAAACTCTAGGCCCAGATGGCTTCACTGGTGATTTCCGTCAAACATTTGAGGAAGACATACTATCAGTGCTGCATAAACTCTTTTAGAAAATCGAAGAGGAGAGAATACTTCTCATCTCATTCTGTGTCAACAGCATTACTCTCAATTACCAAAATCAGAAAAAGATAGTATAAGAGAAATACTGACCCTATCTTTCATGGACATAGAGGCAAAAATTCTTAGCATTTTAAAAAATTTTATCCAACGATATAGAAAAAAGGCTACTACTTCATGATTGACTGAGGTTTATCCCCAGAAGGCAGGGTTGGTTAATATTTTAAAAATCAACCAATGTAATTTACTATATTAACAAACTAAAAATTAAAAATTATCTGATCATCTCAATAGATACAAAAATATAATTTGAAAAAACTTAACATCCATTCCTGATAAAAACTCTCAGTAAACTAGGAATAGAAAGGAATTTGCTTGACTTGATAAATGACATCCATGAAAAGCTTATATTACACTCAATGGTGAGGAAGGAATGTTTTCTGCTAGGATCAGGAACAAGGCAAGGAACCAATGCAATAAGGCAAGATAAGGAAATA